CCTAGTGACTATATAGTGCCTTTTTTAAATTGCAGTCTTGTCAGAGCACTTAAAGTAGAACTATAGGCAAAACTTTTTTTTTTTTTTTTATTTTGGACAGAGCAAGGGAGGATTATTACCCTTATCAGATTTTGGTTTTTTTTTTTTTGCCATCTGTGTCTTATTGAGGAGATTTCCCTTCACTTCCTGTCCTATAGCCATACAGGAAGTGAGAGGTAATACCTGCAAATTAAGGGCATTCCTTAGGGACCCCCAGGTCATAAGAACTAGTGTCCCCATTGGAAGATCTCCCCTCCTATTACTTTTCTGGGAACAACACAAAATTTGGGATTTTCCTTTACTTTCACCTTTCAATGATAGTGGTAAACTGGACAAACAGAGGGTGAATCTCCTTAGCGAAGGGCACAGACAGCAATAGAAACTGATGAGTCCTAATACCTCTCCATTCTGACCTAAACTTAAAAAAAACAAACAAAACCCCAGTTTTGCCTTTAGTTATATATTAAGACAGACCCACTGCTTCCCACATCATAAGCACTGGGCTTCAACTACTGAGAAAGCTGGACCAAAGGGGAATACTATTAAAGCACAAGTGCAGCCTAAATTAAAAATAGAAAAATCGGCTCAAGGGACATAAAAAAATATAGTTTTTTGTACAGAGGAATAAACAGATACAGTTGAAAAAAAAATCACTTTAAATTCCATTTGAAGCCACAGGTTAATAATCAATCAATATCCCTATCAAAGAAAAACAAATCTCCAATCTCCTGTAAAGATTACAATTTAAAATGAAAGTGCAGCCTTTTCCCAAATTAGCTTGAACCTGCTCCCCCCCCCCCTTCTAAACCCTTTTCTATCTACCATGGGAAGATGTGTATACTTGCCTATTCTGAGGGCACTCAGTTCCGGTTGCATGATCTCCCCAGCGGTTGGCTTCAGTCAAGAGGAGAAATTGCCAACAATGGCTGCATAGCCTAGGTGCTAATGTCACCCATAGGCTTTCTATGGGGCATCCATTGTTGGCTGTCCCCCCTCTACATTGAAGGCTCCTGGACCAGATCACTCTCAGAATAGGAAAGTATAAAATCTCTTCCTTTCACAGGGTAGATGGAATAGTGTTTAGAAGGTGGGTCGGACCAGATTTAAGTATGGTTAGGAATAGGCTGGACTTCCACTTTAATGAAAGATAAATAAGCTAAAGGTGCGGTGCCACTCAAATCACAATGAAGAAAAATGAATAAAAAAAATGGTAGAATAAAAAGAAGAGGGGAGTAAAGGGGCAGGGGGAAGAAGTACCCAAAAAGCAGGTCAACCACTGACGATGATCACTTAATCTGCTGGTGCTGCATGGATTAATACACAAAGGGGCTGTCAAGAGCTCTTACCAAGATAGTTTGACTATGCTTGCCCTTTTTCCTAGTAAATCCACCATTCATAAAAGCTGTACTACAGCTTCTATGAATAACACAATATCTCTGAATAGGGGACAGACATATGATTGATAGCTCCACGCCCTCAATTCATAGATCCTGTGTCATTAATAGAAGCTGTAGTAGGGTTCCTTTTTGTTGAAAAGATTCAGAAAGGCTGGTCTACATGCTCCAAAGCAGTCCTATAATTAAATGAAAAGTAACAAAACTATATAATCTGGTTTATTGGCTTTTGCTTAAAGTTGACTGTAGAATTTATGATTTTGGTAGGGACATTGAGTGCCTGATTCTTTGTTCTCTGTAGACCAAGAATCAAACTTTGTCAAAAAAAACAAAAGAATCTGTTGGTAATAACCTTTAGGCCTCATGCACACTAGGCGTTCTAAAAACGCAGGTAGCGTAAGCTGTATAAAATCATTTTAAAAGCTTCTCCACGGTCACAGTTTTATTTATTTTTACACAAAAAAGAAAAACTTTGGCTGAAAAAAACGCTCAAACATTTCCCAGCATTATAGCATTTTTACAGCTAAAAAACCTCCTTGAGTCCCACTTTTTCTTGTTTTTTTTTCCAACCAGAAAACGCCCCAGCCAAAAAATGCGTGATTAAAACCTATGTGTGCATGGACACATAGAATAACATGCTGTGGAGTTTATTGGCTGTAGAAAAAAAAAGACAGCTGTAAAAATGCACAGTGTGCATGAGACCTTATAGTTAGGTGCATTGTAAATATTTTTCCTTCAATTTACTTTTCTTATTTTTGACAAAATCCATCAGCAGTAAACTTCACTTGAAACAACCTGTACTACTGTAAAGCAGTAAGCCTTACACCGAGGGGACATTTATCATTTTAATGGTCAAGTAGTTGCTTTTGGGGAGTGAGTGGAGTAGGCTGATGAATTTTGTACCTTTTAAGTGTTCACTCTAAGAAGAGGCAGGAATTCTTTAGAGGTAATTTAACCCCTCATCGGCTACAGTTATTTTCTCAGAACCTAAACTAAGTATCTTCACATCTGGTATTCACAGATAACCTCAGAACATCTGTGTGACATCTGGAAATCACATGACTGTGACATCATCATGAGTGGGGAGACAGCGCAGGAGGGTGGGGGGAGAGAGCAATACCGCAGAGAATGTGTAATTAGGAAGTCAGTGGAACTGTCAGCCACCTATGTCTGCTGTTTTCTTATTGCAGGAACAACCTCTGATCCTGGCTTAACTTCCAGCCAATAGCTTTGCATTGAAAGCTTTGTCAGCTGTTAAATCTGACTAAGGTACATAATCTAAAATTTCTGCTTGTGGTGTGAAAGCATTTAGTTAAAGGAAACCTGTACAGAGAAATACAGAGGCTGCTGTGACTGACATGTACCTCTTGAAAATGATCCTACTGGAATCTGGTTGCTGTGATTTATTGCCCTTTTCACATTGTTTATGTACCATTTTATGGATTCTTGGTTTTTGCTCAGCCATTCATACATGCCAGCAGTTTAAATTTGGTTCTAAAGGCTGAAGGTGTTTACTTTAATGCATTCTGTGCATTAAGGTAAAAACCTAAGTGCAGCTTCCCCCCCCTACCCCTCTTTATACTTGAGCACGGTGTTGATCCAGCACTGGGCACGAGAGCAGCTGCTCCCTGCTTTCTTTTCCTCCTCATAGGCTCAGAGAAACCATTGGCTCTGGCTGCTCTCAATCACAGCCAGTGAGGAGGGGTCGGGGGCAATGGACACATAGTGCCCCCATAACAAGCGGCTTACTATGGGCGCACACAGCAGCAGAGGGGGGGGGGGGCAGAAGAACTGACAGGGGACCCAAGAAAAGGAGGATCAGGGCTGCTCTGTGTACAGAGCAGGTAAGTGTAACATGTTTTTCATTGTACGCTTTTTTTTTTTTTTTTTTAATCGCTTTAAAGGTGATCTGCCACTTTGTAAAATGTGCTGCCTTAATATGAGTCAAGTACAATGAGGTGCATGTCACCTCATGGACTTATCGTTTTAATTTACAGCTGGTAGTTTTACAGAGTACAGCTACCACTATATTCCAGGCGAAGAAGGTCCAGCATTGGAGTGCCAAAAATATAGGCATAGCTATGCTCCCCAGGCTTAGAAAGTAAAGTAAAGAATTAAGTCCACAAGGTGGCATGAACCTCGTTGGACATTACCCATAGTATTCCAGCACATTTTACAAAGTGGCTAATTTCTGGAGTTCAACTTTAAGGAGAAAAAGGCTATATAAAGTAGTAATATGTTGTCACAAACATTTTTAAAACGTAGTGTATCATAATCCGCTCCTGAGCATACTTTGAAACCAAATGACTTTGCACCTTTACACAAAAAATGTCTCTGTTTGGAATAATAAATTGTATTAGAAGTGACACAGTGTTCTAATGCTTATGAAATGCACAAATCAGGTAAGATAGAGACACCTTACCATGATATTCCAAAATCATCTGACCTGCCAAACTTTTTAAAAGCAGTCCTACAACCAAGTTTTTTGCAATGAAAAACAAGACGGCAACAAGATAATTGGATAGATAAGGGAGCAAAAATGACAATATAATATGAGGAAGGGCATGAAAACCACATAGCTTAACTTTCTAAATTGCTAATGAACTTGTTAAAACTATCTCTTGCCATTAGGATAAATTCAGAAGCATGCGTTTACAGAGGTGAGTAGTGGCAGGAGAGGTCAGGGAAGAGTGACAACCCTTGATTCTCCCTAACTTCACCTAAGTCTCCCCCTCTGAATTTCTTTAAAGCCTAACTCCAGCCAAAATGTGTACAAAACTGTAAACAAATGTGGCTGAATATAGGCTTGAAGCCTTTGCTGATTGTGTAGTTTTGCTATGTGTTCATACCATTGTTCATGCAATTATTGTCAGGTTACCCAAATGGCTATTCTGACTCATCCACCTCACCACCCCGCTCCACCTCTGCCACCCCCCTCTGCCTCTCCCTCCACTGGCTCCCGATTGCCCAACGCATCAAATTTAAAATCCTAACCCTGACCTACAAAGCCGTTCACAACACTGCCCCTGACTACCTCACCAACCTTATCACCAAGTACCACCCTACCCGTACCCTTCGCTCCTCACACAGGACCTCCTTCTATCCTGCTCCCTGGTCTCCTCCTCCCATGCACGACTGCAGGACTTCTCCAGGTCCTCCCCCATCCTCTGGAACTCACTGCCCCAATCCATCAGACTGTCGCCTTCCCTATTCACATTCAGGCGCTCCCTCAAAACCCATCTCTTCAGGGAAGCCTACCCCACCCTCACCTAACGGCCATCCTCCCTCATTCCTCCCACCACTTCATCCCCCTCAGCCACTTCCTACTGTACCTTTTACCCCCTCCCTCCTAGATTGTAAGCTCGTAAGAGTAGGGCCCTCTTACCCCTCGTACATTGTTTGTTGTTGTTGTACTGTGCCATGTATTGTCCCCCCTATTGTACAGCGCTACAGAGCAAAACCCTTTGGCGCTATATAAACTCGTAGTAATAATAATAATAATAATAATTGTCACCTTTTAGTTATATTATATAATATATTAACAAGGACTCTTGTGTATCTCCACAGCCTGCGGGGAGACTTTGCAGGACAGTCAGGGCAATTTCTCATCTCCAGGTTACCCAAATGGCTATTCTGCTTATGTGCATTGCGTGTGGAGGCTTTCTGTTACCCCAGGGGAGAAGGTGTGTATCTTGCTGAAGATGCTTTGGTTAATTATCTGACATACAGTATGTGATTGATTAGAAAGAAACATGGGTAGCTGGTTCTGCACAATGCAAATTTTATTGTTTCAGTTTTGGGTTGCATTTAGGAAAAATAAAGGGCAGAAATTGTAGGATTTTTGGTTTACCTGTAACATCTTGTTCATGCAGTAAATCACAGAACACAGAAGAGTTAATATTCATGACTCCTTGGGTTATGTTGTCACCTTCAGGTAAAGGTCGCTGGCCAAAAAATAGCAATGATCTCCACCCAGGTATAACCTCTTCCAAGTCCGCTAAGCCTCAGTTTTTATTTACTGTCCTTAGGTGATGGATGTGCCTCCCTGTGTTTCTCCTAAAATCTTTTTTTGCGGGTTCTGTTTCCCATAACTTCTGCCCTGTTCCTTGCATCCCTCATGGGGTGGAAGGGGGCTTTATCTGAATCAGTTGCTGCAGCCAGCAGACTAAGAGGGACAGTACCAAGACCCTGCGTACAAGAGCAGTAATTGCCTGTAGTGTCTGCTGGTGTGTGCTGGATCCTGCCAGCAGCTTTCTCTAGTGTGCAGTGTTCTCGGAGACCTCACTGGCAGGGTGCTTTACAGGTCCAGGGCAGTAATCCCCCTTGAGGGGAGACATGTACATTTAGGCCCTTGTGGGGCATGGCCACCATAAAAACTGGGCCTGCTGGCCTACAGCTATTGACTGATGAGTGCTTCTAAATACTAATGGAACAAATGTGGCAGTTCCCCTGGGTGGTATTTCACTGTGTTATTTCACTGTGTTAAAATTTTTTTTTTTTTTTAAAATGAACCGTTAGTATCGCTTTTAGTGTTGCATTGTGCAGAGGCAGTTCTCCATATTTCATTCCTAAAAGGATTGGTTTAGTTTTCCCTGCCATCATATGTACTATAATAAAATCGCACTCTCTCATCACCGCCCTCCTGTAGATAATTCTGAACTTTACCTCTTTGGATGTGTACCGAAGCCGCCTCTGCTGGTATGACTACATTGAGGTCAGAGATGGACATTGGAAGAAAGCTCCTCTCATTGGTACTCTCCTTTTTTGTTTTTTAATAGAAGTTGTTGGTTTTATTCTGAAAATGATTTAAATAGAACTGTAGAATCATAAGGACTGCTCCTTTCTCAGGCCGTTATTGTGGAGAGAAGATCCCAGAGCCCATTATATCCAGTGATAGTCGTTTGTGGATTGAGTTCCGAAGCAGCAGCAACTATGTGGGGAAGGGATTCCATGCTGTGTATGAAGGTAAGTGGGAAAGTGACCAGTGTCTGTCAGCGATCCAGGGATATGGAGATGGGGAAGTTGATAAACTGCTTAGTTTTTAAACATTCTTCTGAAAATATTTACGTACAGTAAGCAATGAAAAGCCTTCTTGAAACATTTTAAAGCTGAAATTGAATCTGCTTATATTTTGAAGATTCATCAACATGCTAATGACCTTTTTTAAATGTTGGCTCCAGTGTTGGCCCTGTTGCCTCTTCTGGCATCTCCATTAAAAGACCTCCTGTTGAGAGAACAATCATTGTGGGCTCTGTTAAACAATGTTTCTCTGACTGTTCAGACCTTTCATTCAAAAGCCTTCCAACTCTCCCTGTGCATGAGATTACTGGAGCTGATGTTCGTTTTCTTTGCCCTCTTTCACTCCAGACCTGTGCCATGCAAAATTCTGTCATAGTGGGACAAACTGTCCTTTCCCTAGATAGGCTGATACCATTGATGCTAAGGACCAAGTTATTCCTGTCAGTGTATTGGGCTTGTTCATTGGAGGAATCTTGTATCACAGTAAACATCTTGGAACTTCGGAAAGTTCCAAGTGTGGTTTTGGTGTTTTTCTTTGGTTGTTCTTCAGCCCTGGAACAACCTGCTGAAGGGCCACCTGATCCAAATTCAATCGGATGATGTCATAGTGTAGATCAGCCATCATGGAGGAACCCGAAGTCTTGCTGTGGCAAGAGCGCTAGAGCAGATCCTGTTTTGGCAGAACTTAATGTTCTATCCTTGTCAGCCGTGTACATTCATGGACAATGCGCAGGTAGATTACTTCTGTCGGCAACGTCTGGACCTAGGTGAGTGGTCTCCCGGTGGTGTTCCAGGACCTGTGTTACAGGTGGGGGATGCTGGATGTAGACCATGCGGCCTCTGCTGGACAGGTTTGTATCCAGGTGCAGGGATCCTCTAGCAGATGTAGTGGGTAAACTGGTGGCTCCATAGGATCAGTGCACCCTGATCTATACCTTTCCTCTCCCTAAACTTTGCTATCGGAACTACTCCACAGGATCGAGATTGAAGGTATTCAGTGATCCTCATTGCTGCAGATTGTCTAATGGTATGCTGATCTGGTAAGGTTTCTAGTAGATGCACCAGGGACCCTGGCAGATCTAATGCTCCAAAGACAGACTACCATCCTGCCTCACAGGCTCTGCATCCAGGACTGTGTACCTGTCAAATTGGGCTGTGCAGATGGGTCCACACAGCTGATGTGTATTCATATACGCAACAAAAGTCTTTTCTCTTTGCATGGGCCTGGACACCTACAGTTGTGTTCAAAATAATAGCAGTCAGACATCACTAACCTGATCAATCACTGTTTTTGGTAGAAATTATATTTCTACATGGCAAATAATTTACTAGCAGGTGTAGTAGAGTAATAGAAATCCAACAGACCCAACAGTCATGACATGCATGCTGCTGATTCTGTGTAATTGAATCACTAATTGAAAGGGGCATGTTCAAAATAATAGCAGTGTGGAGTTCTATTAGTGAGGTCATTCATTCTTTGAAAAACAGGTGGCAATTATTGCCCTTATTTAAGGAAGGAAGGCAGCAAATGTTGTACATGCTGGTTACAGTGCATTTCTCTGAAATTCTGAGGAAAATGGGTCGTTCCAGACATTGTTCAGAAGAACAGTGTACCTTGATTAAAAAGCTGGAGAGGGGAAAACATATAAAGAAGTGCAGAAAATAGGCTGCTCAGCTAAAATGATCGCAAATGCTTTAAAATGGCAACCAAAACCTGAAAGACGTGGAAGAAAGCGAAAAACTACCATTCGAATAGATAGAAGAATAGCCAAAATGGCAAGGACTCAGCCAACAATCAGCTCCAGGCAGATCAAAGAAGGTCTAAAGTTACCTGTGAGTACTGTTACAATTAGAAGACGCCTATGTGAAGCCAAGCTATCTGCAAGAATCCCCCGCAAAGTCCCACTGTTGAATAAAAGACATGTGCTGAAGAGGTTACAATTTGCCAAAGAGCACATTGACTGGCTTAAAGAGAAATGGCGCAACATTTTGTGGAATGATGAAAGTAAGATTGTTCTTTCTGGGTCTAGTGGCCAGAGACAGTTTGTCAGACGACCCCCAAACATTGAATTCAAGCCACAGTACACTGTGAAGACAGTGAAGCATGGTTGCGCAAGCATCATGATATGGGGATGTTTCTCATACTACGGTGTTGGGCCTATTTATCGCATACCAGGGATCATGGATCAGTTTGAATACATCAGAATACTTGAAGAGGTCATGCTGCCTTATGCTGAAGAGGAAATGCCCTTGAAATGGGTGTTCCAACAAGACAACGACCCCAAACCAGTAAATGTGCAACATCTTGGTTCCAGACCAACAAGGTTGACGTTATGGAGTGGCCAGCCCAATCCCCGGATCTTAATCCAATAGAAAACTTGTGGGGTGACATCAAAAATGCAGTTTCTGAGGCAAAACCAAGAAATAGAGAAGAACTGTGGAATGTAGTCCAATCATCCTGGGCTGGAATACCTGTTCACAGGTGCCAGAAGTTGGTTGACTCCATGCAACACAGATGTACAGCAGTTCTCAGAAACAGTGCTTATACAACTAAATATTCATTAAGTGATTCAAAGGAAAGCAAAATCTTCAAACATTTTTCAGTTTATATAGTGAATGTTTGAGTTTGTAAAGAATACAAACACTGCTATTTTTTTGAACAGTCTAATATTCACTTTTCTTCAATTTTTTTAGAGGAACAACACAAATTTGATATATTTTTCTTCATGTTTTGATTTGGAATAGAATGTGTAGTGTTCCCAATGCATTTGTGTGTATGGAAATAAAAGCTATTAAAAGGATTTTGAGCTTTATGCACTTTTTTTCAACACACTGCTATTATTTTGAACACAACTGTATGTGATTGAGCCCATGTGATGCATTCTGCCAGCATTATTATTACAGCAGTTCCACACAGTCCCCTCTGTAGCAGTTTTTACATGTTGATCCTGCCAGTACTGCTGTTATCTTTCCACTTCTTTAAAATGGTGACACTGCTGTTCGTTCTGCAGTGAAATGGCTATGTTGCCACCCTGTGTGATAGGGTAGACTTATATAGATAGTAGTTTTAAATGGACATCAGTGTAAAGAAAATGCAACTCCGCATGTACCCAGACAGGGTTATGGGAGATGGGGATATTTAACGTGCCCAAAAAAAACTCACAAAAAAAGAAAATCATTCCTAACAACACATTTTTATTTTTACATTTAAAAAGGATTTCTTTCCATAAAAACAAATGTCAGTAGCTACAATTGTGACATTCAGTGTGTAAAATAGGGTAAACATTCGTAAGAGTTTGTGGATCGATGCGTTTCATAACAGAGGGCTTCTTCAGGATCCACTTGATTATACACTCTGAGACAATGCAGCTAATTAAGAATACAGCAAACATGTTATTACTAATATTAATATACAAATACTACATAATTATATTACAAAGTACAAATAAAAGTACAAACAGATAAAAAAAATTGCCTCACAATAGCCGTCACCCAGTTGAGATACGAAAGAGGAATAAAAAAAAAAACCCCACACCTGAGAGGGAAAGAGGGGAGAGAAAGGTGTTATCCCCAGGAGAAAGTGAGTAAGTACCAGCACTAAGGGGGGCGCGGGGGGGGGGCAAAGAGCATGACCAAAATGGCACCACCATCTCTATAAAAACACCCCAGAGCACAGGAATATACTGTCTATAAAGATAAAACCACAGTGTCTAGAAGACTGGACTCTTATAAACCGTGACTAGGTTGCAACCATGCCCATAAACCACTCCTGTGAATAGAATTGTGCCTAAGTACAAGAGAGAAAACAACTAGTTCTACTCACATGAAGACCCAAACATTACCCATGAACACCAAAGCATACAACCAAACGCAGGTTACAGATCCAAGCCCACTCCAAAGACTCACCAGCAGAATGTTAAGTTAAATAGCCAGATCAGCCGGCTGGAGATGCTTCCAGAATACAATATATGATGGATAATTAGAGGCGGCACACAAAATGACAAAAAACTAGAAAAGAGAAAGGAAATCGCAATGATCTAATAAGTATATAACACTATCAAGGCTCAAAATACTGCAGAAAGAAATGCTGCCAATACAATCACTCCATCACATAATGCTTACCTAGCTGAACTGAAATTTGGTTTAATCCAACAGTGCATATAAAAACCCACACAATGGTGGTGACACCTGTATTAAGCCTAGCTTGACTTTAAATAGGAGAAGATGGTGAAGTTACCTGCCCACCCGTCCCCTACGCTTTGCCAATATCCACCGGAACAGCGGAAGAAATGGTGGACAGTTCCTCCGGAAAAATTACACACTTCTGGCGTGATGTCGTAAGTGATGTCATTTTCCATCACATGTCAAAACCCAAAAGGCAGAGTGGGACTGATGGAGTGCACAGCGCTCCACAACGTCCATACTGGGAAGTGGGAACGACAGAGGGCAGCCCACTGCAATACACAGTGTATAACAATAAAGCAGACCAACAACACAAGACTAACCCGGGGATCCAAAAGCCTGGTCAAACAAACAAAAAGACAAAACAACGAAAATAATCAATGTGTAATATAACCAGTCCAAAGTTTGTCTAAAGGGTCATAGTTGGATATTATGGAGAACAATGTGCTGGAACAGAAACAGCCAGGGATCAAGCCAGAGCTTACTAAGGGAACAAAAATAAAAATAATAAAAAAATTATAAAGTGAAATAAGAAAGCATAAAATGAAAAATAAACAAAAAACAAAGAACAGAAAGACTAAAATGCAAATGAGGGTGGGAATGGGGGGAGGGGGAATCACTCTTCCATCTCCATAAGCAGTACCTATCAAAGCTGGATAACATATGACAGCCATCAGAGGTGCAAAATCATCCCTGTACAAAAAAAACTAAATTATGTATTATACTGAAGGCTAACAACCTCAGAGAGTTCCTATGGTTAATCAAATGATTGCAAATTAGGACAAATGGATATGTTAAATGGACTTCAAGTTAACTATAATACTTTGTCTTTATGTTACATCTATTTTTGCAGCTCTGTGTGGAGGAGAGATGAAGAAGGATAATGGTCACATACAATCTCCAAATTATCCAGATGATTACAGACCCAACAAGTCCTGCGTATGGAAGTTGCGTGTGTCTGAAGGCTTCAATATCGGAATTACTTTCCAGTCTTTTGAGGTCAGAGACAAATGGAGTATGCACTAGAGTGGAATAGTGCTCAATCATTTTCTTTTTCTCTAGTGCTTGACCTGTTTGTTCTTTCAACCTTTTCTTTTCTTTTTTCTTTCTTTTCCTCCCTCTTGCTTTCTTAGTTTTTTTTTTCACTTACTTTCTCTCATGCTATTTACCTTTCCTCCTTTTTGCCCTCTCTCGTGCTTCTCTTTCATTTTTGCTTTTTCTCTGTTTCTCTTTCTAACTATTTGGCTGCATTCACACTCTAACTCTTTGGCTGCAGTTTTTATTTGAGAGTTTTTGAGCGTTTTTAGAAGCGTATTACAAGCATTTTACAACTTCAGATATTACTGCTTAGCCAGTAGAAAGCACTTGAGGAGAGGGGGGGGGGGGGGAGAAATTAGGGGTGAACTGCTGTTTGAGCAAAAAACACATGACAAAATGCTCAAGTCACACATTTTCAGGCTTTTCTATTGAAGTCTATGGGACCAACAACGCTTGTAATCTGCCAAAAAGAAGCTCATGTACTTTTTTGAGCAACAGGTGTTTTGGTCAGGCTACAGTACGCTCATATGTGAACAGGGGCCATAGAAATGTATGGGAATTGGCTTGTTGAGCATTTTCAGAGCTACAAGCTTTAAACAGAAAACCCGCTCAGGTGTGAATGGGGCCTTAGTTACAAGTCTTTCAGATTATCTCAACATTTAAATATACCTAATAAAATTAACAGCTTGTGGCTTCTAAAGGATAAAAGATAAGATAAGTTCATTTTGAAAAAATATTAAATACACATTTTTTACAGGTAAAAAAAAATGTACATTTATTATTTGTTTTACTTAGGAGCCTGCAGAGCATTGCATCCGCGATCAGCAGATCGCAGGTGCAATGTCAGGTTCCTGCTGGTTCTTAAAACAGCTGTCTGCCTTTACCTCTCGGACAGGCAGTCAGTTACTGAAGAGCAGGAAGAATCAATGAACTGCGAGGGCACTCTTCTTCCCCCCCCACAGTACATTGAAAAGTACAAGCTAACTTAACGCAGCTGTGTGTGGGAAAGGAGGGGGGGGACTTGCGGGTCTGCTGCATTAGTAACAGGTTACATGTTGCACACCCTGAATATGGGTGCAACATGTTACTAAAGGTGACCTTGGCCTTTAACCAGTACACGTTTTCTCAAAGTCTTTTGGTATTCTTAAATAGGGTCGAACAGATGGTTTCCACTAAATTGTTTTTCCACTGATGACATTTCACAGAAGTGGATTGTCAAGCTCCAAAAGCCACCTTAATTTCACCTTCCCCATTGACTTCACTGCATTTTACAAAAATAGCAAACATTTGTGGAAATCTTCTGATTTTCACCCAAATTTGTAGGAAATAAAAACGAATTGATTGCATCACAGTGAACAGTAGTACTAAAAACTCTTTTATTCTACAGATCGAGCGTCACGACAGCTGTGCTTATGATTATCTAGAGATCCGGGATGGTAATACTGAATTCAGCCCTCTAATTGGCCGTTTCTGTGGCTATGACAAGCCAGATGACCTGAAGAGTTCCAGCAATCAGCTTTGGGTTAAGTTTGTGTCTGATGGATCCATCAACAAGGCAGGCTTCTCCATCCATTTCTTCAAAGGTCAGCAAAACCAAGTCATCAGACCAAGTGTAAAGTGTCACCACAGAACACATACAGTCATCGTGTGAGGTCAGATTATATTTGGAAAAATTACTGTCTGAGCATTTCAGTGACGTCCCAAATTACCACATCTGTGAATAATAAGCTGCATCATCTGTTAAGATCTGTCTTAAAATAAACCTGTCAGAAACCTGGCCAATGTAAACTGGACATATGATGAGAAATACCTTCATGAAAACTTTCATATCTAAACATTCAGTAGATCCAGAGATTTAGGCTGAATTTATATGAAAATTTCAACCTTTTCTGTAAATGTTTATTTTGGCCATACCCCTATCACCTTTCAAGCTTATGTGATTGGTGGACACATTTAACCAGTTGGGAACTTCCCCCAGGAAATGCAGACTAATTTAAGTGACTGGAGGAAACCTTGTGTTGGGTCTCTGTATTAGCACATAAGCCAGTAACCTGGTAATGATTATTAAACTGTTAGCTTAGGAAAGTCAAACACATTAATTCAAAATTTTAAATTTATATTCATATCATTGTGCTAAATGTTTAACCCAGAAGGGAGTCCAGGAAGACACATGGCCTGGATAGAGTGCAAATTCCCCCTCCCACAAGGGTTAAATGCTAGACCAATGAGGTACTCATAGGATGCAAACTGTGGGCTGTGCACTGATTTTAAGTGTGACGATCGCCTGTATAAAGCTGCTATTCACGCTGTCTGATAACTAAGCTGGCCTAAGACCATTTAAATCAGAACTGGTAGAGGAAGCGATGGTAGATATGCAGGCAGCAAGAGATACATCTCTTCTGCTGTCATAGACCGGTTAAGAAACACTGGTGATGTGCATTTTATTACTGATAATAAACGCCAGCTTGCGGAGTCAAGAATATTCATAGTTTCAAGGAACTTGCACAGTTTGCTTTTTTCCAAAATTTTGTAGCTAAATTACAGAATGGTCCCTATAAAAGAACAGTTATACACAGTCCATGCTCAAACTCCTATTGGAAGGGATTATGTGTGTCTTGCACATTATTACATAGGAAAAATGAGGGCTAATTCATAGCAGAACACAGTGCACTTACAGTGATATTTAACCTTTAGAAAAAAAAATAGATGAATAAATATAGCTGCATACCTTATGTCGCTATTGCCTCCTGTTCCCAATTATGTGCATTCTTTACAGCATTATTACTATTTCCTCTGTTAAGTTGCCTCCTAAAGGGTGCCTCCCTTGTGTCAAATGTATTTCTCTTGACACCCAGATGTGTGCGCTTTTGCCACCTGGTGCCTTGCTTGTAGAACACATGCGCAGTAGGGGTCGCTGGTGCATGTACAATAGTGGCTGCTGCCTTTCAGTGCTCTGGCACTCTGCCCGCCTCCCACATTTGTGGTAGGGGCCACTAGCTCTATCTGTCTCATGTCGTTTTGAGATCTAGAAATGTGCCCAGCCGATGCATGCACAGTAGGCACATATTCTGGCTAGGCTTTATGCAAGACCTCAGAAAGACAGTATCCCCTACTGTGCTTGTGTTGGTGGGGTACAGCACTAGCAGCCATACTGCTGTGCACAGGGTGTGCTCTCTAGGGGGAACAGAAGGCTGGTAACAAATGCAGTCCAGAAACTCAACATGGGTATCTGTGTGTTTCACTGCACTGTAGGTGTGCATTGGGGGAACTTAACTTTGCATTGCAATCTATATTGCAGTAACACATGGTGTGAATAAGCTCTAAGTGTTTAGCTGGCATTCTTTATGAAAGGTACATGTGGCAGCTACTTGTACAGTACAAGAAGTAGTAGTACACTGTAGTTTAGCTCTCACGCAAGCAGCAGAACTATTTGTAGCGATTTATGGTTACATTACAGATGCTAAAGATGTGTCTATATGCCTGGAATTCTGCTTGAATAGTTATAAGACCCCAGTGACTTCAAAATTCTTTGTGGTATTTTCCCAGAAACTCTGGCCACCATTGTGGCTCAGCCCCATGATGTAAACCAGCGGCAGGGTCTAGGGTGATGTCATCATGGCGAACCAGGAGAAGTTCTCATCACAGGGCGGAAACTCACTCATGATGCCTTAGAGTTCTTTTAATATTGAAGGCAGCATGAGTGACTAAATGCCCCGATGTACTGTCTGCTTTCAACATTAACATGATGTATTCCTGTGGCAGCTGTTGGAATGATAGATTTTTCCATAGTCCACTGCCCAGTAAATGCTTGCTTGTAAAAATTACAAGATAGGCTGTGGTATTATGTCCTGGCAAGAGTTCCCTGAGAGGAGAAGTACATAAACAAGGTCTTGTGTTATCAGTATAGCTTGTACTTCGAAGAGGAGGATGCTAAAGCATCTTGTACAATGCGGCCAGGTTCCATCGGTCATTTTTTAATGACAGAATCAGACTGATGTGTGCAATGTAGACACATTGAGGCCCATTTACATGGGGTACCTTAGTGATCTCCAAGAAATAGATTTTACAGTAAGTACAAAGATACTGTTTTTTGGCAAGTATGAAACATTGCGTTTATAATTTTTTTTTTTTTTTTTTTCCTAAGCTAGCAGTATACTTTTCACACGTCTTCCAGAGACTGTAGAAATCTGTTGTATACAGTCTGACTCATCCCTTATCAGAAAACTCAGTATGAAGTTCCAATTACACAAACCAGGCAGGCTGTTACTTCTTTGAACTATTCATCTAATCCAGTGGTTCTCAACCTTTCTAACGCCGCGACCCCTTAATACAGTTCCTCATGTTGTGGTGACCCCCAACCATAAAATTATTTTCATTGCTACTTCAGAACTGTAATTTTGCAGTGGGAGGAATAGTGCCCCATCATTGGTGTCAGTGGGAGGAATAGCGCCCCATCATTGGTGTCAGTGGGAGGAATAGTGTCCCATCGTTGGTGTCAGTGGGAGGAATAGTGTCCCATCATTGGTGTCAGTGGGAGGAATAGTGCCCCATCATTGGTATCAGTGGGAGGAATAGTGCCCCATCATTGGTATCAGTGGGAGGAATAGTGCCCCATCATTGGTATCAGTGGGAGGAATAGCGCCCCATCACTGATGTCAGTGGGAGGAATAGTGCCCATCGTTGGTATCAGTGGGAGGAATAGTGCCCCATCGTTGGTAGTCAGTGGGAGGAATAGTGCCCCATCATTGGTATCCGTGGGAGGAATAGTGCCCCATCATTGGTGTCAGTGGGAGGAATAGTGCCCATCATTGGTGTCAGTGGGAGGAATAGTGTCCCTATCATTGGTGTCAGTGGGGGGAATAGTGCTCCATCATTGGTGTCAGTGGGAGGAATAGTGTCCCATCATTGGTGTCAGTGGGAGGAATAGTGCCCTATCATTGGTGTCAGTGGGAGGAATAGTGCCCCATCATTGGTGTCAGTGGGAGGAATAGTGCCCCATCATTGGTGTCAGTGGGATGAATAGTGCCCCATCATTGGTGTCAGTGGGAGGAATAGTGCCCCATCATTGGTGTCAGTGGGAGGAATAGTGCCCCATCATTGGTGTCAGTGGGGGAGGAATAGTGCCCCATCGTCATGGGTATCAGTGGGGGGGAGGAATAGTGCCCCATCATTGGTGTCAGTGGGGGGAGGAATAGTGCCCCATCATTGGTATCAGTGGGGGAGGAATAGTGCCCCATCGTTGGTTGTCAGTGGGGGGGGAATAGTGCCCCATCGTTGGTGTCAGTGGGGGGAGGAATAGTGCCCCATCGTTGGTGTCAGTGGGGGGAGGAATAGTGCCCCATCGTTGGTGTCAGTGGGGGGGAGGAATAGTGCCCCATCGTTGGTGTCAGTGGGGGGAGGAATAGTGCCCCCCATCGTTGGTGTCAGTGGGGGGAGGAATAGTGCCCCATCGTTGGTGTCAGTGGGGGGAGGAATAGGAATAGTGCCCCATCCGTTGGGGGGGAGGGAATGTCAGTGGGGGGAGGAATAGTGCCTATCGTTGGTGTCAGTGGGGGGAGGAATAGTGCCCCCCATCATTGGTGTCAGTGGGGGGAGGAATAGTGCCCCATCGTTGGTGCCAGTGGGGGGAGGAAAGTAGTTGGTGTCCCCATCGTTGGTGTCAGTGGGGGGTGAGGAATGTCAGTGTGGGGGGGGAGGAATAGTGCCCCCATCGTTGGTGTCAGTGGGAGGAATAGTGCCGCATCGTTCGTCAGTGGTGTCAGTGGGGGGGGGAAGGAATAGTGCCCCATCGTTGGTGTCAGTGGGGGAGGAATAGTGCCCCATCATTGGTGTCAGTGGGGGGAGGAATAGTGCCCCCCCATCGTTGGTGTCAGTGGGAGGAATAGTGCCCCATCGTTGGTGTCAGTTTGGGGGGAGGAATAGTGCCCCATCGTTGGTGTCAGAGGAATAGTGCCCCATCGTTGGTGTCAGTGGGAGGAATAGTGCCCCATCGTTGGTGTCAGTGGGGGGAGGAATAGTGCCTATCATTGGTGTCAGTGGGGGGAGGAATAGTGCCCCATCGTTGGTGTCAGTGGGGGGAGGAATAGTGCCCCATCGTTGGTGTCAGTGGGGGAGGAATAGTGCCCCATCGTTGGTGTCAGTGGGGGAGGAGCCCCCATCGTTGGTGGAGGAATAGTGCCCCATCGTTGGTGTCAGTGGGGGGAGGAATAGTGCCCCATCGTTGGTATTAGTGACACAAATGATGGGACACTATCCCTCCCACTGACACCAATGATACTTACCTTGCTGACCCCTGCTCCAGCCTGGGCTCGCTCTCTCCCTCTCCCATCTACAGCCTGCAGAAGCAAAATTTGCACTTACCTGTCAGCTGTCTTCCTTCTCTGGCCTCTCTCCTCTTCACTCGGTCCTGCAGCTCCCTCGATCTTCTTCGATCTGCGCGCTCTGCCGCTCGCTCGGCTCCTCCTCTCCAAGCTCCACCTCCTCGCCGGTGATTGGCCGCCTGTGTGCCTCTCCTGAGCTACAGTTCCGGTGGCCAATCAGCGGCGAGGAGGCGGAGCTGTTGAGTGATCCCGGAGGTGTGGCCAGGTTACAGGGGCAGCATATCATCCCGCCCACAGATCGCGAGACAGAGCAGCGGTGTCTCGGTTCCTAAGACCATCGGAAATATGTGTTTTCCGATGGTCTTAGGCGACCCCTGGGAAATGGTCGTTCGACCCCCAAAGGGGTCGCGACCCCCAGGTTGAGAACCGCTGATCTAATCCATAGTTCTTTAAAAACCCTTCGTCATGCAGTAAACAGTTATTTGCAAAGCAAAAGCTGTACACTTATAACAGATTTAAAACAGTTTAAAAACTCTTAAACGAGAAGTATAGCCAGAGCTATTTTTATCTGTACTTATCCTGTGGATCACAGGAGTACAGTTAGTTCTGCACTGCTGTGACCCGTTTTCAGACTACCTGCTGTCAGCCAGGCTCAGCCTCTAAGCCATCTGCCCCCTGCTTCCACTACAGTCCAGTGCTTCAATGAGCACTGGAGGGGCAGAGCAGAGAGCTGGAGACTGACAGTCACAGCTCTCTGCTCAGATCGCTTAGTTCTCATTGCAGAACTGGCAGGGGAAAGATGCCGCATCGGATTGATGCTGCATCTACCTAGATAAGTATACTTTTTTTTTTTTTGTTTGTTTTTCTTAAGTCCATACTCCTTGTAAACAATTTTGAAAGTCTGTCATAGAAACAGCCATGCTCCTCTCATGCTGTTAGCAGGACTTGCATGGTGAAAAGCTAGTTTCTCCATTCACAGCATTTGCGAATTTGACAAATGCCAAATAATCACTTGGCTTATCATTTTGAAGAAAAAGCCTTCTCTGGGACTAGGCCTAAAAGCCTTATTCTGATTAGGATTTCTGTCCATCCTTGAAGCTTGATACACAGTGTGAGAAAAATGGATGGAAATATCTGTATTGGAAACAATCGTTCAATTTTCTTTATATTGTGTACAGAACTTTTGAAAGGTGAAAATTTCTATAAGCATGAACATTTTTCACAACAGAAGTAATGATTTTTGTACAATGTGTACAGTATTCGTGCTGTAAAAATCAGAGAGGCTGTGCATCATTGGAAACAAAATAGGACCTGGAAGAAGATACAGAGAAAATTATTTTCGTAAGCACAAAAGTATTATGCCTAATGAAAAAGCTAACCAAAAAACATTTCTGTGAGTGAATAGGTGTACAAAAATTTCTGTGAGGGAATAGGTGTACAAACATTTCTGTGAGTGAATAGGTGTACAAACATTTCTGTGAGGGAATAGGTGTACAAACATTTCTGTGAGGGAATAGGTGTACAAACATTTCTGTGAGTGAACAGGTGCACACGTAATTTAAAAAAAAATAAAGGATATTTATAGATTATGAAGTGCAAAAATACCTCTGATTTATAGTAAGCATGTTTCATGAAATTGTTTATTATTATAATGACATTATACATTGTATATATGGTGTTTCTTGAATATCCTGCTATGCAGCTGGCCTCTGTGTTTTAGGAGAATTTTCAGAGACGTTCATATAAATCTCGGTTTCATAATGGTACATACTTTCACAGAAACGTGGACAATTGTTAATCCAATTTTCTCCTAGTGTGTACCAGGCCTAAAGCATAAGTTCACTTTTTGTAACATGTTACACCCATATTCAGGGTATAACCTGTTAAAGATGCAGCAGCCCCTGCACCCCCCGATCCCATGTTGTGACAGCAAGCGGGGGATCTTCTCACAGAACTCACTGTCACGTTTTTTAAAAAAAAAGATGCATGTGTAGGGCTCCACCCACCTGGCCATGTCATTCACTCTGTTCTGTGAATGTGAGAAATAAAAAGCTGACACCCTTTGTGGCTGTCGGCTTGTAGTTCTCAGTGAACGACAAAGCCCCTGCTGAGTGCTCTAGGTAGTTCATTGATGCTTCCTGTCATTATGTAACTGCCTGCCCCTGTGAGGTATGGGCAGACAGCTAACACAGACAGTCTGCAGGAGCCCAGCATTTCACCAGTGATCTACTGATCACTTGTGCAATGCTTTCCAGGCTCATAGTAAAAATAAATAATAAATGCACATTTTTTTACCTGCAAAAACGTGCATTTATTATTATTAAGTGTTCTTGCATGGCAAGACCACTTACTGTTATCTCACATATATATTCTTATTATTATAGCCAAATTTACCACCCTAACTCCTCCCACAGTTTTTACACAACATAGACAGTAATATACGGAAACGTGCGGATTGTTCCTGATTGGTGTGCTATTACTTTGTGGAACGTTTCACTGAATGGTTCACGAAATATCAGTGTTTTTGTGGTGAAATTGGTCCCATAGGAATGAATGGCGGAATGTTAAAAACTTGAGTGGGAGCTGACAACCTTTTCACAGTTACTCCAGCCACTCCAACCACACAACAGTTACTCAAGCCACTCCACCCAGTTACTCCGACCACTCCTGTTGTAGACTACTGGTGGAGGCAAAAACACTTCACACAATTTCCCCAGAAATTGTAGCTCTTCTAGTTATTATTATTATTTTATTTTTATTTATTTTTTACCTCACTAACACCAGCCCCAACAGTTGTGTCCAATTCTAATTGTTTGGTTTGTGTACAATGCAAAGATGTGTTCTTTCCCAAGAGAATGATCACAAGATTTTTTACCAACAGGATGAAATAATTTCCTGTTGATCATATTTTTTTCAGTCTCCACTGAAGAAGGGTTAGAACCTTAGTTGGGATTTCATGGCTTTGTGTGCCAGTTTGGGAGAGGTGCTCTCAAAAAATGAAGTGAGGGAAAATTTCTCATTGTAGGTACTTGTTTCAGTGGTGGTTGTTGAAGGTGAGATTTAGCCTTATTTTGCAGAGGGTTTCCTCACTTTTTGTTATGTCTCTGGGGCAGGGAGTGAGAGCAAATCTTTTCACTGGTCACACAGCCAGCAAATTAAAACCTGACCAAATCTTGGATTAACTCACTCTTGTCCTTCTCATAAAACTAATTTTGATTTCTTCTGCAGAGGTGGATGAGTGTTCCCGTCCTCATAAAGGTGGCTGTGAGCAGCGATGTGTGAACACACTGGGCAGTTACAAGTGTGCATGTGAGCCAGGGTACGAGCTGGCACCAGACAAGAAGTCTTGTGAAGGTGAGCTATATATGTGAGGTATATATTCCTTAAAGTAGATGTAAACCATTTCTGAATGACAGTTTGCTAAAGCACTGTGTAAACGTTTCCCAATTTTTTTTTCATTTTTTTTTTAATAAAATACTTGTTTTTGTCTTTTTCTTTTTTTTTTTTTTTTTTTTAATTCTTTGTGCTGCTAATTTTGTGCAGCCACTTCATGTCTTTGAGCAACTTAAAAGCAAAATGCAGCAACTCCGAATCACCTGAAAGCATGCTGTACTTGTTTCATTTCTAAGCTTTGTTGCCATCTACATGAGTCCTTAATCATCTATATCATTGTGAAATGTTTCTAGTGCCACTGTACCCCTTTCAGTACTATATACCTTTGCAGCTGCCTGTGGTGGTTTCCTGACCAAACTGAATGGATCCCTTACTAGTCCGGGGTGGCCGAAGGAGTACCCACCCAATAAGAATTGTGTCTGGCAGCTGGTGGCACCTACTCAGTTCCGCATCTCTTTGAAGTTTGACAAGTTTGAGACTGAAGGCAATGATGTGAGTTCTAGTCTATGTTGCCCATGTTTTCCCCATACTGCTGATTATTTCTTTAATGTGTACACATCTTCCCTTGTCCCTTTTTAGAATTCACTTTCTACAGTGCCTCTGAAATAAAATAAACCCAGACACATGATAATTTTTTGCATATGTTATACCATCTGTTGAGACCTTTAGTATATATTACATAAAAGTGTCTCACATTAAAGGAGTTCAGCTTTACACAAGATGACTTGCGCAGCAGGTATTAAATCTTCTGTGTTTAAAAGTTGCCATTGCTTATTATGGTGGCATACATTTCACCAGGGCTGCCATTGGAAATCATAGGATCCCTGTAGTGTCTTACAATACACTTTAACCCCCTTCCTCCAGTGTCTCCCCACAAACTTTAAGTGCTACTCTGCACAATAGCAGGGAACTACCCCCCTACCCCAGCTACCTCTGTGCACCCAGTCCATCAGTCATTGCCTGGGGTATTGACCCACCCAAATCCCCCCCGCTATTGAAAAGGGGATATTAAAAAGGGACTTGCTTCTCCAGCATCGTTTGAATACAGAAGAGTTTGCGCCTTCTGCAGTTTTTGGGAAAATTTCACCCCATAAGATTCCAGTAATTGTGCAGGGCAGTGTCCAACAGAACGTTGCACAGCACGTAACTCCCTCTCCTCCACTGCCAACCAATCATAGAAGGAGAGGAGGCAGATGTATGCTCAGAGCCCCTTTTAGAACAACATTTGTCAATTCACCCAGTGTACTGAGAATGTTTATGCAAATGTGTGAGAACTTTTGTTCGAAAATCTACTAGTGTATGGCCAGCTTAAGACTGATGCTGCACTTTTACCTTGAACCAGGGGACCAGGGGCGGACTGACCATTCGAGCACTCGGGCACTGCCCAAGGGCCCGGGGTCAGTATGGGGCCCCAAGAAATGCCCTTGGTACTTTTTATAGGCTTTTTTGGGTGGGCAAGGACACAGGGGCCCCATGATCCCCTGTTGCCCGGGGGCCCCATGAGTTGTCAGTCCTCTGTCTTGAACTCTACTGAAATGACACTACACTGGGACTGCCCACAGACATTACTGCCTGTACCCCTTATCTGAAGCCCTGTATTTCTCACAATATTTATGTATAATTTCAGTAACTTTATGGGAGACTTTTTTTTAGTGTTTTGGGGTTGGTTTTTTTTTTGGTGGGGAAAGGATTGCATGATGAGCTGTGAAGGATTTTCCTGGCCAACAATGGTAGTTTCCCCTTTATAAGCCTGGTGCTGGGAGCAGTTTTCCTAATTTATAGACATGGGTGCTTTCCTATGCATGTCTGTGCAATTAGAAAATAATGATTCTTTGGCAATCAGATGGCTTATGTACATTTAGATACTAGTCTAAAATCTTTGGGCTGCTGTTGAGTCAATAGTTCCTAGCATCTCCACTATGTACAGTGAGGCACAGAGGTGATGCCAAGTCATTGCCAATACTCAGCAGTTAGGTGCAACTGCCCAAAATAAAACTAGGGAGGTGAGTAAGGGGTTAATCTCTTTATGGGGCTAATCTATTTTATTCAACTTCTCTTCCATTACTGTCATATACCTCATATTCTGTATTTGGCCTTATCTCCCCCTCAACTGCCCAGGTTTGCAAATATGATTACGTGGAGGTTCGCAGCGGCTTGACAGCCGACGCTAAACTGCTTGGAACATTTTGCGGAGCAGAGCTCCCCCCAGTGATCACTTCTCAGTACAACAACATGCGTATATAGAGTTCAAATCTGACAACACAGTGTCGAAGAAGGGATTCCGGGCCACATACTACTCAGGTGAGCCTCTTCCTTGCATGCTCATCTTCTGTCTTCTGTGCCTGATTATTGTGGGTGGGGGAGGGGGTTTAGAGGGTGCACCAAGGACAACTTGAATAACTTTTAGCATGATGACCACACCATCCTGGTCATAATCTGCATTGCACTGTGATTTCATTATCTCTGTCTACTGACCTTGCTGCTGCATCAGGGTGACAAGCCGTAAAATTTTCACCTATGTCTTATATTGTTCAGTGGGGGAAACGCAAGATCAGATTTCCCAACTATGCTGCCATGCTTATAACAGTGCGGGTTTTCATGGTGAAGTTCTTTTTAGGATAAATGCCAATGGGCAGGCAAGATTGAGGACCCAAGACCCTAAAATACATGCTGGCATAAATGAAGCGCTAACAACGTTAACAGAACTGGCAGAATTTAGGACAACGACCTAATGGGAGTGATATTTTGCTGTGAACACCAGACTTCCTTTGCAGTCTGCTCATAGGACAACGCTGCAGACAGCCTCTCCTTACCTTCAGTGGTTGACAGCAAAATCTGACAGTTTTGTTTTTGTTATCTTTTGTGTATGGCAACCACTGCTATAGGCCTACCACACATTTTTAAATATGGAAGCCGATCTAATTGGCCTCAGAGCAACACCAAGTGCTATCATAAACTTGCAAGGTCAGCAAAAGAGACGAGCAATAGTAACCAAAGCAAGTTTTCAAACCTGTGAGGGAGCCATTGGCTAGCTGTCTTTGACCATACAAATGACTGACACCTGAGCCACCTAAAAACAGCCAGATCAGGCAAATGTCATCTAATGTATGTGAGGTGCATTAGCTTCCCTTCGTTATTAGCTAATGATTTAGGGTAAAGCAGAAATTGTTGGTGTCCGTAAGAAGAATAGTGCCATTTTGTTGTCAGTTGGAGGAATAGAAGCAATAGTGCTACACCATTGGTGACAGCAAGAAGGATTGTGGCCCATTGTGTGTGTCAATGGAAGGAATAGTGCCCCATCGTTGGTGTCAATGGAAGGAATAGTGCCCCATCATTTGTGTCAATGGAAGGAATAGTGCCCCACCGTTGGTGTCAGTCAGAGGAATAGTGCCCCATCATTGGTGTCAGTGACAGGAATAGTGCCCCATTATTGGTGTCAGTAGGGAGAATAGTACCTCGTATCAGTAAGAGGAATAGTGGCCCAAGGGACAGATAAAGGCAAGCAAAGGGCTACATCTGGCCTGCGGGCCCGCAGTTTGGAGACCCGTGTCTTAGAGGTTTCAGTTTTTTAAAGCACCCTTGAGGTTTGATGGCCTGCAGTCCTCTTAGACTGCTCAGAGTTTTCTAACCATTTCCTGCAGAAGGCAATGACATATAGGGGTTTATTTAATTAAGTTGGAGAGTGCAAATTCAAGCTCACTTCTGCATTGAAACCAATCAGATTTCCAGATTTTATTGCCAAAGCTTAATTGAACAAGCTGAGGTTAGAACCTGATTGGTTTCTATGCAGACACAAGCCTGATTTTGCGCACTCCAGCTTTGAAAATAAACACCTTATTGACCATTTAACAATGACCAGACTAGCCTCCTATAATATAGTGGCAGTTTACAGGGTTAAAACATATGGACAATCTTCCATATAAGTCTTGGATGGAACTTTGACTTTATAGAAGTTGAATGCTGACAGATGTACACAGGCATCCAAATGTTTATAATAAAATTCCCCTTCGGGTCATTTTGTTTGTTAGTGGTGGGTGGTTATGTATGATTAGAAACTGAAAATTAAGAAAAATTCGAAGGGTTTCTGTTTAGCTCATTTGTCTGATTTCATGACAGCATGACCTCCAATAGTACTAGTATTGAGGAAATCTGATCTACAGGACATAGGTATTCATACAAGCATGGTGGTATAAGGGAAACATAATATGTGTACATGTCGGTGTCTGCACCTTGCTCTAGAGACAAGCAAATTCATTCCGACCTCTTTACTTTATCTGTCATCTGAGATTTTATAGTTACATTCCAGAGGTCACTGTGACTGTGCATCAGTTTGCTTGTTTGTAGTGCCTTCAATACTCCGATACTGATAGCTGGTGTCCTATAAGAAACTTGTTCTTGTCCGTTGCAACCAGTCATGTTCTTCCATAATTATCTTCACCAAGTCTAGAAAACGGCATTGGTAGGCAGATTGGTTGCAGAGGGCAAATAGAACGCTTCTTTCAAATAATTTTAATATATGAATCATACTATGTTAATGAGATGAATGAAACCTCAATTAACCAGAAGCTTTTGAGGTGATGGTCATATAGGAACCACAAGGGACTTGATCGGGTCAGTTTTAATACAGCCTAGACTGTGTGGTACTGCAGCCATCCTAACCTTCTCCTAGTAAAGTAATAAGGTAATGATATATTGGTAAATTTAATTTGTGGCTCAACCCGGTCCCATCCCTTGAATGGTTGCATGCAGTGCTTTGCATTTACGCTGCATGATGTCCTCTCCTTGCACGATTATGCCTCAGCTTCTGGCTCCCAGCTCTGCATCATGGATCAGAACGAGGAAACTGTTACACTCCCCTCCCCTGTCCCCGGCTCACTCCTTTCTTTGTCTGTCCCCCCATCCCTCTCTGTCTCTGTATCTTCTGTTTTTCTTCCCTCATTTTTTTTTTTTTCTCAATCCTTCATCGTCTTCTCTTATACTACTGATCTACTCCACAATTTCTGCTCTTCCTTCTTGCAACCATTTTATTTCCGTCGCTTCACTTTCCTCTTCATTTCTCTACTCCCTCTTTCCTTTGTGTTCTGCCTTTCTTCCTTTCCCTCTACTCTCCCCTCTCTTCCACCTTCTCTCATTACAGAGATGAAGAACAAACAGAAGTTATTACAGCTGCAAAAAATGAACCAGCAGCCTCAACAGCCGAAAAAGGCTTTACCTCGGAACCGTCCCCGAATGAGAACGAGGACATCGATCGAAAAAAAAGACCCGCTCCCCTTAATGAAAGCCCCCCCCCCCTAAACTTTAACCCCCATCAACTCCATATAACTCATTCTCCTTCCTCTTAACCCAGTCCGACCCCTCAATCTGTCTCCCCTCTTTTATCCGTCCAGCATCCATGTCGTACAATGCATTTCTTCCCAGCAGAACTGGGAAAACACCCCCCTGCTCTGACATTTGGGATTGGTGGGGGAATTGCCTTGGCAAACAACTGTTATTTTGATCATTTTTATTATTTTAGTAAATAAATATCTATTTTTATTGTTTTTTTAACCAGATGTATCATATCCTTAATGCCTATAGTATATGGGGAGTTTGCATTATTTTTTAAATATTTCAAGGGGCCAGATACTAAAAGGTATCTCTTTGACTTCGGTCTGAGATTTCTCCATATTGTTGCCTGTTCACCCAAAGAAAATGTGTTTTCCCCAATGTTCTTTTTTTCTTTTTCTTTCTTTCTTTTTTTTTTAATTCCTAAATGGGTGAGTTAGGATTATTTCTTTTTTGTGGAGAAAGATAATCTTCCTTAAAGTAGAACTAAAGGGAAAACTTTGCTTTCATGTTGGATAGAGTAGGGAAGGGTTATAACCCATGTCAGTTTTTTGTTTTTTTAACATCACCTGTATAACATTGGGGAGATTTCCCTTTGCTTCCTGTCCCTTAGACAAAACAGAAAGCGGAAAGAAATTCCTCTAAAGTAAGGGAATTAATGCTTTTCACCAGGTAAACCAAGCCTCATTAGAACTAATTAGAAGATTTCCCTTCTATCAATGGTGACAACCCAACATGGTTGATCTTCCCAACATTGGGATCTTCTTTTGCTCTTGGTGATCATAGTAAACAGGACAAAACAGGCACATACAGGAATAAGAACAAGTCCCTCTCCACTCTATCCAAATCTTCAAAAAAGTTTGCTTTTAGTTATACTTTAAACATGACTTGTCATGGGAGATAATGAATGTCACCATGACTTTTTTTTTGTGTGCATGCTTCAGAGCTGTGATCCTCATTGCTACTGCAATAGTTTTTGAGTCACAGACATGAAGCAAACTTGCAGGTTGGGAGTTCACTGTTTCAGGTCAGTTGCACCGTAATACACTGCTCAAAAAAATTAAAGGAACATTTATTAATTAGAGTATACCTAAACTCCTGGGATATTGATCTGATCAATTAAGTAGCAGAGGGGGTTGTTAATCAGTTTCAGCTGCTTTGGTGTTAATGAAATTAACAACAGACGCACTAGATGGGCAACAATGAGATGACCTCCAAAACAGGAATGGTTTTTATAGGTGAAGGCCACTGAAATTTTTTTCCGTCACTCATCTTTTCTGACTATTTGTCACTAGTTTTGCATTTGGCCAGGGTCAGTGTCACTACGGGTAGCGTGAGACGATACCCGGACCCTACAGAGGTTGCACAGGCAGTCCAACTCCTCCAGGATGGCACATCAGTACTTGCCATTGGCAGAAGGTTTGCTGCTGTCTCCCAGCACAGTCTCAAGAGCATGGAGGAGATTCCAGAAGACAGGCAGTTACAGTAGAATTGGACACGGCCGTAGAAGCTCTTTAACCCATCAGCAGGACCCGTATCTGCTCCTTTTGTGCAAGGAGGAAAAGGATGAGCACTGCCAAAGCCCTACAAAATGACCTCCAGTAGGCCACTGGTGTGAATGTCTCTGACCAAATAATCAGAAACAGACTTCATGAGGGTGGCCTGAGGGCCCGTCGTCCTGTAGTGGACTCTGTGCTCACTGCCCGTCACCATAGAGCTCGATTGGCATTTGCCATTGAACACCAGAATTGACAGGTCCGCCACTGTCACCCTGTGCTTTTTACAGATGAGAGCAGGTTCACCCTGAGCACATGTGACAGACATGAAAGGGTCTGGAGAAGCCATGGAGAACATTGCCTGTAACATCATTCAGCATGACTGATTTGGTGGTGTGTCAGTGATGGTCTGGGGAGGCATATCCATGGAGGGACACACAGACCTCTACAGGTTAGACAGTGGCACCCTGACTGCCATTAGGTATCGGGATGAAATCCTTGGACCCATTGTCAGATCCTACACTGGTACAGTGGGTCCTGGGTTCCTCCTGTGCATGACAATGCCCTGCCTCATGTGGTGAGAGTATGCAGGCAGTTCCTGGAGGATGAAGGAATTGATACCATTGATTGGCCCCCACACTCGCCTGACCTAAATCCAATAGAACACCTCTGAGATATCATTTCAGTCCATCCAACGCTGCCAGGTTGCACCTCAGACTGTCCAGGAGCTCAGTGATGCCCTGGTCCAGATCTGGGAGGAAAAACCTCAGGACACCATCCATTGTCTCATTAGGAGCATGCCCAAATGTTGTCAGGCATGCATACTACGGAGTACCATTTTGAGTTGCTGCAATGAAATTTCAGCAAAATGGACTAGCCTGCTGCATCATTTTTTCACTTTGATTTTTGGGGTGTCTTTGAATTCAGTCCTCTGTAGGTTGATTATTTTCATTTCCATCAAATGATGGGGCAACCTTGCGTTCCTAACACATTACTCAGTCCATATGAGTATAGATATCCAGCATGATATTTTTCCCCATTGAGATCTGATGTGTTTTTTAAAGTGTTTATTTTTTTTGAGCAATGTAGTAATGAGCATGGCAGACCTGGGGCTAACACTCTTAAAAAGTGACGGTTCACCTGTTCCTATGCTGTACATTCTTGTTAAAGGATTTATTCAGCTAAAACTGGTATTTCAGATATGTATAAAGGTTGGTGAATATTTATTTTGTATATCTTTTTGGAACCCAGCAACAAGATTGCCCTGCTGAAATTTTTAGCTTTCTGCTGTCTTACCCCTATATGAATATAGTTGAAACATCCAACAAGGAGAGTGATTCTTTCGGTTATTGACCAGGAGGTTATGTGCGGTTGGGACCTCGAGTGCAGAATGAAACATCCATTTTGGATAGGCCACCCTTTTTAAACAAAATTCAGAGATTTTCACACAGGTGTACAGTGAACCTATGGCCAGGCTATATACATATACCTTGCAGGTGGTAAAGTAGCTTTAAAACAAGCCTTCGCTGACCTCTGTAGTTGTAGGCTCAGTAAACCAATTCATTATCAGATTGTAAGCTCCAAGGAGCAGGGCCCTTGAATCCCTTGTGTATTGTATTGTTACTGTATTGTCTCATGTACTGTCCCCCACTATAATGTTCAGCGCTGAGCAAACCTTTTGGCGCTATATAAATACTGTATAATAATAATTAAAGAAGTCCTGAAGTCGGCTCATCAGCTTGGCTCCCCTATCCCAGAACATCTTCTCTGTGTTTACATGAGAGATTGGAATGCTGCCTAATCACTGACAAGAGGGGGAGTAGGATGAGCTGAGCTGCTGCGAGAAATACTTGAAACAACTTCATTGCTTTTCTGGCAAATTGAGGATGATATTCTTCAAAGTGCCCGAACCTACATAGGTCAGGGAGGGCTTGTTTTTATGCTTATATACTGCTTGTTAAGGATGTGTAAATGCTTGAATGTTCATAACCTGGCCACTGTCAAATTAATTCTCTGTGAGAGTTCACACTTTAATGCATTCAAAAAATGTAACCTTATGCTACCCAGCCATTTGAGTTGCATCAGTATTGGAAACTGGGCTGTGTAGGCTGACGGCACTTCACTCTATGAGGTTCACTACATAATGGTAAGAGGAGGTCAGAGTGATCGTGGCTGACACATGCTGATTGAATACCTCCCATCACTGAACCCCCCCAATTCCTCAAGCTGCTTGGTGCTCCCTCTGTCTTTCTCAGGTAATTGCACTGTTGGTATGGGGTGGTGGGTGCAATGATTTTGTCTCCCCTTCTCACTCGTTTTTTTCCTGTCTTCTCTATTCTCCACGGTGATCGCTCCCTTGTACCTGTGTTACAGATAAAGATGAGTGTTCTCGGGATAATGGGGGTTGTCAGCACGAGTGCACCAACACTCAGGGCAGCTATACCTGCCACTGCCGAAGCGGTTTCACCCTTCATGAGAACAAGCATGACTGCAAAGAGGGTAATCTAGCCTCATGTGTGTTTGTGTTGTGTATTTTATCCACACTGTGCACTCCTATTTGAATTCACAGCCTCATCGGTTTTCACCAGTGCCAGCCTTTTCCAGATGAGCAGGACATTGTCTTAAGTGTATGTGAGCTTTGCCATAAAGGCCTTTTTGTTGCCACTGACTAAGTCTGTGTTAGGCTTCGTTCACACCATACGTGCAGAAAAACTGATGGAAACCTATGTGCAGATTTCACATGTAGAGACATCAGTTTTGATGCACACTTCAAGGAGTTCTATACACAGCTTAGGGAGTAAACGGTTTTGTTCCATCAAGTCAAAAAATATTTCAGAATCATGCAGGGTTTTCTTATCAAGTATCATTCACACTACATATATATTGAAATGCAGCAACAGACATATGTGTTTTGACTCTTTTTATTGATATGTTTGCAATATTTCTATACATTTTTGTGCATGTTTAATGCATTTTTACACACCCTGAATCATTGGGTAATTTCCCTATTCTGTCACTTCCCCATACAAGAGCTTTAAAAAATGTACATACAATGCATGCATTGGCGTTTCTGTGCAAATCTATGCAAGGAGTAGGTTGAATATCTTATTATTTCACTGCCATGCCTAATGGTACTAAACACAGAGAAATGCTGGGGAATTCCTTTAATCTGGTGTTCCAAACAAGCCTCTTTTTTCCAGTTTTGAATAGAATGGGAAGGGTTAGGTTTCTGTGTTATAGTTGGATGGATGATTTTCTTTCTAAGGTTTGGCCAACAGGAAGAGAGCTGAGATTTTTCTTCTCCCATTTGGCCAACAGGAAGAGAGCTGAGATTTTCCTTCTCCTCCCATCTGGCCAACAGGAGGAAGGCTGAATATTCTGAGACGCTGCAAGAAAAAGCTGAACTAAGTTTTAAGCTTTGGTTGGAGTTTTAGTTTAATAATAATAAGTCCTTATTTGCTAAAGTAATTAATAATTTGAATAGTATGCTAATCCTTGGTGACCAATTAGCAGTCACCTTTCATTGTTGATGAACATTGGACAATATAATGTACTACACTTGCATATGATCATTGAATATTGCTGTGCCTTAATAAGCTGGTTGATGAGAGAAAAATAGTTTTACAAATTTCCATATAAAGCAAAAAAGCTTTTTAACAACACCCTTTGAAGCTCCAGTGATAGTCCAAAATTATCAGTTAGGTAACTTGACTACAACTCTTTTTGAGTAGTTTACCAGTGGGGACTGAGAACTAGGAACACACTCAATTGTGTATTTCCATTTCTCTTCAACATTAACATCCTCTTGGTACAGGGTATTGTGCTTAAGGGCTTAAAAAGGTGTATCGTGATCATGATATTCTTCAACAGTGATCTTAATGGGCACAAGGTGAGAAGCTTGGCTAATATGTTGTGATTTCGGTTAAGACATATGTTAACCCCATTGCAGCTTACCGGTCCTTAGATGTGGTGGCTGCATTTGTCTTTATTTTTCAGGCCAAAAATATTTTCAGTGAGTATAGAAAACGCCTCTTGATCTTGCTAAAAGTTCAGTAATCTGTGAGTTGATCTCTAGCAATGATATCTGTTAAAGCTGTTCTCTGTAAACTGATTATCCACTCTTTTTGTAATGGAAATGGAGAGGAAAATATGTTGATAGTCCTGTCCTAGTGTGACAACCATGTTTCCCTCCATTAGTGGAGTGTTGTTGATTCAAGGGCAGGCAGTGTGTTATTCTTATGATTGGCTGGTTAAATAAAGAGGTTAAAAATTAAAACTAATGCATCTACCATATCTAAACTCTCGTGAGCTGAAACATATTACATTTTTTGTTCTTGGATTTAGATAGCTTTAACTGCCTTCCAGAGTCTTTTTCCCTGCTTATGCCTGCTTTCTTTCCCTGCTTTCCTCATTTCAGCTGGCTGTAACCACAAAGTGACTGCCAGTAATCAAAACATTTCCAGCCCAAACTGGCCAGACTCCTATCCAAGTAAGAAGGAGTGCACATGGCAAGTGACAGCCACAGCAGGACATAGAGTCAAACTGGTAAGCCACAAGCTATTCACCCCCTTCTAAGCTGATCTAATGGATGTCCAATATATCTGTCTCAGAACAAAATAGTGTAATTCCATCCAGATGTATGGAACATATGGTGTCCCTCTGTTATCAGATGATCTTACTTTGGTGTTAAATCTTTCTTTTGGCTCCCACCACGATGTATATATTACCAGGAACTTACACAGTTCAAAGGAAAGCATCAGTTGTATTTATATACATTATACTATTTATACTATTGGGCTCATTTTCCAAGACATCCAGTAGAATACAGAGTTTGGCAACTAATAATCTGTCATATGAAAATTGAGACCATCTACTTTGCACATTATCCTTGCCCCTTGCACTGCCTATAGTTTTCAGGTTAGGTGGTTAAAAATCTGATCACACAACATTGGTTTTGGAGGTTCTGGGTTAGTATGGTTAAAGCTGAACTCTAGTATGTATACTGGAATTTTTGGTTATTTTTTTTCATATTATTAATGGCGGCAGTCAGCGACTTCTAACGGGACTGTGATAATACGGCAGGTATTCTGACACTGGGTGGGAACTGACTGCCACTTTAATCTCCAGTGACACTAATACAGTGATCAGTGCTAATAAAAAGCACTAACACTGTACTAATGACACTGGGCAGGAAGAAGTTAACATCTGGGGCAATCAAAGGGTTAACTGTGTGTTAGGGCATGATCTGTGTGCTGTGTAGTGTTTTCCTAGATGGTGTGCTGGTTTTTATCTCCCTGTTTTGCAGAAAGATAAAAACCAGCAGGTACCTGCTGACAGGAGAGAGATCTGTGTTTACATTCACAAATTTCTCTCCTGTCAGCTTCTCCACCAATCACAGAGTCCCGGCTATGAATTGCTGGCCAGAACGGGTAATTGACACTTACAGGAGCCAATTACAGCATGTGTGGGACAGGGCAAGTGTGTGCGCCTCCTACCTGGGAATGCAGAATCACACATTTAATCATGATTCTGCACAGAGCGGCCACCCTGTAGCAGTAAAATTGCTATAGGGCAATGGGCAAGTAGATAGAGACCTAACAATGACATCACTGTGTCTAAAATAAGCTATGCAATAAAAATTAAAAGGATTTATTTAAAAATATCATAATGTAGAGGAGAGTGGAAGGGAGGAAGCGGGAAAGGCACATGCTACTCTTCAAGCCTGGACAACAACAAACTGGACATAGCCATAAAAGTAATATATAGATTTATAAGATTAAGTAGATTGTATACCATTCAGAACAGGTAATTTTGCATAATTTATAATATGATTCTTCATAATCTATGTCTGAGTTTCTTTTTCTGTATGTAGATGTTTGTGAAGGTTCTCAATTATCCAAGTCACAGTATAGCTAGCAGTTACATTTAACTAGACTTGCTTAGTAGTGTTGAAGATGGTGATTGGATTAAGGTGACTGATTATGGTTAAGATGGCTATACACTAGCAGATTTTCAAAAGGACGTTTGTGCGAATGTTTGTACAAGTATTCAATTCTTGGTACATTTGATGGGTTGAAGATTGTCATTTGAAGGTAGTTCAAAATGTAATTTGCTTTTAGCATTTGATTTGGGAGTGAATGGATTTAACCAAACGAAAACCACAAACACTGTTAAAAATTTGGTTGTTCAGAACCATTTTCCATTCTGGCCCTTCGAATTTTCTCGTAACTGCGGTCAAAAATGACTTTCAATTTGACCCCACTAACTGTTAGGAAATCAAATTATGAGTTTCTGCCATACTGCAAGGATTGGGGGGTATGTATAAAGTAGGGCAGGCAGCCAAGGGTCTGTTACGCATCACTGACTACCCCAAATAAACCACACTCTGGTCTAATGAGGCACACTCACCAAGCTGTCTCCGTTGAAGGGCTTCTCGAGGTGGGATCGGGTGGGAATCACCACCATGTCTCAGCTTTATTCTAATGAAGCTCTAAAATCTTTTCAGCAACTCCACTTCGTGTTCAGCTTGGATCCAAACATGATCCAATTGCTCCTGCAGGAAAACAAATTCCTTCCTGCTCCCCTGAGAGGCAATCGGATTTTCCCTGGATCAACTTTACCTATAAATGTTAGTATCCAGTTACCGTATATACTCGAGTATAAGCCGACCCGAATATAAGCCGAAGTACCTAATTTTACCACAAAAAACTGGGAAAAACTATTGACTCGAGTATAAGCCGCATAGTGCCCCATCATTGGTATCACTGGGAGGAATAGTGCCCCATCATTGGTATCAGTGGGAGGAATAGTGCCCCATCATTGGTATCAGTGGGAGGAATAGTGCCCCATCGTTTGTGTCAGTGGGAGGAATAGTGCCCCATCATTGGTGTCAGTGGGAGGAATAGTGCCCCATCGTTTGTGTCAGTGGGAGGAATAGTGCCCCATCATTGGTATCATTGGGAGGAATAATGCCCCATCATTGGTATCAGTGGGAGGAATAATGCCCCATCATTGGTATCAGTGGAAGGAATAGTGCCCCATCATTGGTGTCAGTGGGAGGAATAGTGCCCCATCATTGGTATCAGTGGGAGGAATAATGCCCCATCATTAGTATCAGTGGGAGGAATAGTGCCCCATCGTTGGTGTCAGTGGGAGGAATAATGCCCCATCATTAGTATCAGTGACACCAATGATGCGGCACTATTCCTCCCACTGGCACCAATGACACTTGCTTACCCCTGTTGCAGTATGGTGCTGCTGCAGCCAGCATATGTGGTTGCAGCAGCACCTCTGCACTGCACACTTACCTGTCAGCTGTCCTTCTTCACTCCGGCCTCTCCCTCACTCGATTTTCGCGGGTCCGCTCGGCTCCGCCTCCTCGCCCGTGATTGGCCGCCTGTGTACCTTTCTTGAGCTACAGTTCTGGCAGCCAATCACCGGTGAGGAGACGGAGCCGAGCGGCAGGAGTGAGGGAGTGGCTGGAGTGACGGAAGGAGCAGCGCTTCCTGGATGGATCATCGTGGGAGCCAGGTAAGAGACAGCAGCCCTCTGCCCACCCCTGTACGCGCCCCCCCTTGACGGAGCCTCGCGCCCCCCCTGCAGACGTTGACTTGAGTATAAGCTGAGGGGGCCGTTTTTCAGCACAAAAAATGTGCTGAAAAACTCGGCTTATACTCGAGTATATACGGTATATTCTGTGTATCTAAGAAAAAATCCAGGCCTTTTTTAAAGCAATTTACTCAGCTCGCCAGAACCAACTCTTGAGGGAGTCTATTCCACATTTTCACAGCTCTCACTGTGAAGAAACCTTTCCATGTTTGGAGATTACATTTTTTTTTCCTCCAGATGTAAAGAGTGCCCCCTTGTCCTCTGTGATGACCTCAGGGTGAATAGCTCTACACCGAGTTTACTATATGAACCACTGATGTATTTATACATGTTGATCATATCCCCCCTTCATCTCCTCTTCTCAAGAGTGAATAAATTCAGTTCCTCTAATCTTTCCTCATAGCTGAGCTCCTCCATGCCTCTTATCAGTTTGGTTGCCTTTCTCTGTACTTTCTCCAGTTCTCCAATGTTCTTTTTGTGAATTGGTGCCCAAAACTGAACTGCATATTCCAGATGAGGTGTTTACTAATGATTTGTACAGGGGTAAAATGATATCTCTCTCTCTGGAGTCTATACCTCTTTTAATGGAAGAGAGGATTTTGCTCGCTTTAGAAACCGCAGCTTGGCATTGCATGCCATTATTAAGCTTGTGATCTACCAGAACTCCCAGATCCTTCTCCACCATTGATTCCCCCACTTGTACTCCCCCTAGTATGTATGATTCATGCATATTCTTAGCCCCCAAGTGCATAACCTTACATTTATCAACATTAAACCTCATTTGCCACATAGTTGCCCAATTAAACAACACATTGAGGTCGGCTTGTAAGTTGAAGACATCCTGTAAGGACGTTATTCCACTGCACAGCTTGGTGTCATCTACAAAGACTGTAATGTTGTTTTTAATCCCAGATCCTATATTGTTTATAAATATATTAAAAAGTAAGGGTCCCAACACTGAACCTTGGTGTACACCACTGAGAACCCTAGACCATTCAGAGTATGAATCATTTACCACTACTCCTTGAATACAATCTTTTAGCCAGTTTTCTATACATTTACATACGGATTTTTCCAAGCCTGTAGACTTTACGCTACACATTAGCCATGTGTGGGGAACTGTATCAAACGCTTTTGCAAAATCCAAGTATACCACGTCCACCGCCACCCCTCTGTCCAAGGTTTTGTTCACCCCCTCATAAAAAGAAATCAGATTTGTTTGACCACTTCTGTCTTTCATGAATCCATACTGTCTGTTGCTTAAAATATTTTTTTCCAGCAAGAACTCCTCTATGTGGTCTTTTATTACACTCTCCAGTATCATCCCCACTATAGAAGTTAAACTAACAGGTCTTTAATTATTTGGTAAAGATTTTGACCCCTTTTTAAATATTGGCACCACATTGGCATTACACCAATCCAGTGGTATTATGCCAATCATTAAAGTGTCCCTAAAAATTTGAAATAATGGCTTTGAAATTACAGAGCTCAATTCTTTAAGCACCTGAAGTGTATGCCATCCGGTCCAAGTACTTTATTCACCTTTATTCTGTCTAAATATTTTTGGATCATATCAGTTGTGAGGCAATGTGGATTATCTGGAGCTGTGTCAATATCATCCCCATTATGGACAAGAGCTCCCCCATGCTCCTTTGTATACACAGAGCTGAAAAAGGTATTTAATAAATTTGCCTTCTCTTTTGTCTCCAGTCACTCACTCTAGATTATTTTGTAAAGGGCCTACATGCTCGGACCGGAACTTTTTATATAATATATTTGAAGAATTTTTGGGGATTGGTCCTTTTATCTGTTGTTCGTTTTCAATTTTTTTTTGCAGCCTTTATTTCTTTTTTGCATATTCTGTTATATTCTTTGTAATGTTTAAACGATGATAGCGTTCCTTAGTTTTTTATATGTAATAAAAGCTCTTTTCTTATTATCTATAGCTTTTATAACTTTGGCCGTAAGCCACATAGGTTTCATTTTTAGCCTTTTAAATTTGCTGCCCATGGGAATATATTTTGCAGTGTGGTCACATACAGTCTTTTAGACAAACTCCCATTTCTGTGTTGTGTTCATTGATGCCAATATTCCCTCCCAGTCTAAGTCTTGGAGAGCAGCTCTCATCCTTGGAAAATTATCTCTCTTTGAACCTTGGGAAGAGGCTTTGCAAAATTGCCAGCTGGTCTCACTCTGGCAGACTCAATCACCCAGCTCTTTACCCCAGAATTTTTATACAAAATAGGCCTCAAGGGGAACTCGCACTATGTTAGATGTGTCCATCCTCATGGTACCCAGATACACTTATAATGGAGATGTCCTAAAAGATTACTGGCAAAGGGTGGATACAACTTTGAATGATCTATATGGTATTGCCCTGTCTCCTGACCCTGCTCTATGTATTCTAGGATATGTTGATCCCAATGATTTAGATCCTAACCTATCATTTGCGGTCTTAATGTCTCGCTTTATTGCACTAAAGCTGATTGCATTGCGATGGGTGTCCGCTACTCCACCATCTGTAGATGTCTGGATATCAGAAGTGAATGTTATATTTTTGAAACATACGTGCCTCCTTCGTAATACCCTATGCAAGTTTGACACAATCTGGTCCAATTGGATAGACCTAATGTGCCCTTTTCTTGCTTTCTGATGCCACATTAATTTCAGTGTTATATGTGGGATATTTGCTAAATCATTCTTTACTGCTGAGGCATATGGTTGTTGCTCTCATTTATTATTGATACTCCATGTGTTTTTTGCTGAACTACAGTCCTATGCTACTTCCTTTGTCTGCAGTTTTGTGCTGCCCTGTGCAGCAGATTGTTTGTATGTTGTTGTTGTAAAATAAATTTTTCTAAAATGAAATCTGATTTAAAAATAGAAAAAATCAAATGAACCTACTTAAAAAAAATTTTTTAACGAAAATCTATTAGTATATACCTAGCTTAACCTGTGAGTGTGTATAAATGCGTATGTTCATGACACTTGTTAGACCTGAGAAAGCTATTTGGATGAGTGTTGAAATTTACATAGGAACTATGGGGTTGATTTACTAAAGGCAAAAAGACTGTGCACTTTGCAAAGTGCAGTTGCACTCTGCAAGAGCAGTTGCTCCAGAGCTTAGTAAGTGAACAGAAGCTCTGCTGACTTCCATCATCCAATCATGTGCAAGTAAAAATGCTGTTTTACTTTCCTTGAATGGGATTGGGTATTCTTTGCAAAGTGAAGCTTTACATCATTTACTAAGCTCTGGAGCACTTGTACTTGCAGAGTGCAACTGCACTTTGCAAAGTGCACAGTCTATTTGTCTTTAGTTAATCAACCCCTATGTGCAAAGTTCTGTTTTTTTATTTTTTAAGACCTCATTTTATTTGTCTTTTCTTCTGCCTTTCCAGGTGGTGAAGGAGGTAGATCTTGAATCCCATCAGGAATGTATGTATGATCATGTTGAGGTTTACTCTGGTGCTGATGCTCAGTCTCCAGTCTTAAAACGGTTCTGTGGCAGTAAGGTCCCAGAGCCCATTATTGCCCCAGGGAGCAGCATGTTTGTGAAATTTGTCTCTGACAATTCCGTTCAGAAAAAGGGATTCCTGGCAGAGCTAACAACAGGTGAGTAGCATCTGAAACATAATTTATTGACTTTATATAAGTAGAAAGGTGCCTCTTGCTTGAATGTAGGTTTATTGGGGTTTTGTTGTAGTGATCAAAATCATTGCAGCATTGTGGACATTGTTTGCTAGTCGGATATCCCTGTCTAGAGAAATTGTAATATGCTTTCAAATGTAAGCAGCAAAACTAAAGTTTGTTTCCAGAATTGCCAGGCTCAGTCTCTACTGTGGAGTGGGAATTTTGTGAATAAAGTAGCATCTTTTAAAATGAGCTGCTTCAAACTGTGAGGTGCAGATAGGTTTCTTGGGTATAGTTTATGGAGGACTCCCTAGAGGCTCATTCTGAGGCTGTTTCTGGTGCGTTTGAATGAAACTGATCAAACACATTACAATCTGATTTTGGTTTACCAAAACCATGTAATGTTAAGGCCATGATTTAGGGTCCATGCATGCTGGGCTAAAAAAAACACCAGATCCCTTGGCAGAAAATAAAACGCTCATATACAGCATTTTTTGTATACATTTAGGAGCGTTTAGGAGTGTTTAGCAGAAAACTCCAAAAACGCAAACCAGAAGGGTTTTTTTAAATAATACCTCTAATCCTAATGTGCATGGACACATAGGATAACACTGAGCTGCTTCTACAGGCAAAACACAAAACTCCTGTAAAAGCAGCTTTTTTTTTTTTTAAGCCACTGTGGATGGAGCCTAAAACATACCTAACCCTAATAACAAAAATGTAATATACTGCAGCTTACCAGTCTTCAGATATGGTAGCTGTATTTGTTTACTATTTTTAGACTAAGAACATTTTCAGCAAGTGTACAAAATACCAGTTGATCTTGCTAGTCATGCAGTGAGTGTCCTTGTCACTTCTGTGAGCTGAAAAAAATGCAGACATCTATGGGGTTAATTCATTAAAACTGGAGAGTGCAAAATCCGGTGCAGTTCTGTGTAGAAACCAATCAGCTTCCAGTTTTTGTCAAAGCTTAATTGAAGAAGCTGTGGTTAGACCATGCACAGCTGCACCAGATTTTGTACTCACCAGTTTTAGTAAATCAACCCCTTTGTGCATTACGGTAAACATTAAATTACTTGTTGTGCCCCCTCCCTAAACACCTGACTCCTGCAGACAGGACAGTGCTGGATCGGTGTAACTGCTACTCCCTCTTCCTAGACTCACAGGAGGCACTGGGGGCAACAGGAGCCATAGGTTCCTGTTGCTGTCATTCAAATCATGTTATTAGGGAGCAGGGAGCGTGGCTGAGCCCCTCTGTGTGCATTTATGGACACATAAGCCCAGCTCATGAGCACACCCGCATGGGGGCACCCGTAGGAAGGAGGAGTAGAGAGCTCTAGCAGGAACTGCAAAAGAAGTGGCAAGCCACTGCTCTGTGCAGCATTGTTGCACAGAGCAGGTAAGTATAACCTCTTTTTTTATTTTAATAATAAACAAAAACAGAGCTGATTAATATCACTTTAAGAACATACTAAACTGAAGTGCAGAATTGTAAACCAGCCACATAGAACTGAATGGGATTTCTACTTGAAATGCATTTCTAAGCAGTACAATTTGTACAATTTACTTAAGGAAAAGGGATGCTTGAATAGGCAGTAAGAGTAGGATATAGGGTACATAATGTAAACAAACACGTGGGGGGTTTATATATTTCCCAGCTTGACAGGAGAACACTGTGTAAATCCCTAAGAAGAGCCTTTGTAATAGCTAAGGCAAAAGGAGGCCTAGGCTGGGCTATTCAGCCTGCTGTTTTAATACACTGTATTAACAATGATTTTTTTTTTTTTTTTTAATTCCTGAAAAACTGGTAAAACCCTTTTGTGCTTTAACTTTGTCCAGGGGCTCCCCCACAATCCAACTGGTCTGCTAATTGATCTCGACTCAGTAGTCCAGAGCATTTGGAATGTGCCAACTTACTTCAGCTAAGATGCAAGGCGACACAGTGTCTGCAGTTAATAAATAGTCTTTGCATTGTGAGTTTTCTGCCACGCTGGAGAAAACGTGAGAAGTGCTGGATGCCTTGGGCCACCAGAGCAGTGACCAATTAACAGATTTGCAAGGGGGAAAGGCGGGATACCCCTGCCTACTGAGAAAACTAAGGCACGGGAGGTATTATCCGTTTCTTTTAATGGAGAAAATCTTTAACCCATCCTGTTAATTCCCACAATGTTTTTCAGTAAGCTCTTGATGTTGACACTTGCTTTGGGGCCTTTGATGTCCAGCATCCATTATCATCTCCAATCAGTGGAGAAGACACTGAAAAGAATAGCAAATGCTTGTCTTATTGTTGAATGGGTTCCAGGTTCCTTTAAGTTAGTCAGATATTTTCCCTCTCTCTGTTAGTAGGTTTCTAATAATACTTAAAATAAAAAAATATATATATAATATAGGGGAACTGAAGTATGTAGTGGAGGAGGAATAATGTCATTGTTAGGCTGACTCCACTTCTCTCAGTCCAGTGATTCCATGATGTGAAATCAGTTAATCAAGACTCCATAGGTGGTCAGTTCTAGACTCCTCCCACCCTTATCTATATAATCTTGTCTTTTGCCCATTCAGGCAAACTGCTAAACACACAGATGAAATACACTCACCGGTCTCTTTATTAGGTACACCTGTTCAATTGCTTGGTAACACAAATTGTTAATCAGCCAATTACATGGCAGTAACTCAATGCATTTAGGCATCTAGACGTGGTGAAAACGACTTGCTGAAGTTCAAACGGATCATCAGATGGGGTCAGAAAGGGAATTTAAGTGACTTTGAACATGGCATGGTTGTTGGCGTCAGACAGTTTGGTCTGAGTATTTCAAAAACTGCTGATCTACTGGGATTTTCACGCACAACCATCTCTAGGGTTTACAGAGATTGGTCCAAAAAAGAGAAAATATCCAGTGAGCGCCAGTTGTGTGGAGGAAAATGCCTTGTTGATGTCAGAGGAGAATGGGCAGATTGATAAAAAGGCAACAGTAACTCAAATACAAAAATCTTTTCTTAAATACCTATAACCAACTCCTAAAAGTCCTCACACTAAAGTTCCAAGAAATTGTCCAAAACAAGTCTTCAAATAATCCACACAATGTCCGTTTCCATTCGCCACTTCAAATCCAGAATACCTAAAAAAATTAAAAAATAAACTAAATATAGTGTATTACCCTTATATTCTTAAGTATTAATACGTGATACATGCAAAACCAATAAACAATAATCGAGTGAAGAAAGCACACAAAAAAAAAAAAAATATATATATATATATATATATATATATATAAAACTAAATATATGCACACAGCACTCTGTGAGTACAAATATCAAAAGTGAATAACAGCACATCCAAAATAGATAAGTAGATAACTTTCAGTGAACACTCCGTGACTGTCAGGCTCCGCCCAACGGGATCTCTAGTGGTCCACGGCACGGGTTTCCCAGGACGCGGAGTCTAAGTCCCAGTCTGCCTTTTCACCAGGGCCCCTGATGGTAACTGGACTTGGTGCAAGACTGAAACCAGGTCACGTTCCTGGGCACCCCCGGCGGCGGCAGAGGGGTCCCGCTGGGGGTATGTGCCCGGGTTGAGCCTGCTGTGAAGGGGACGACAGATCCCGATCCAAGCGGGATGGATGGGATGACAGATCCCGATCCGAGCGGGGTGGACGGGCGACTGTCAGGAGTGGGCGAGGTCAGACTAGCCGGGTCGGTATTGTGCGGGCAGCGTGGTACAGGGGGAGTAAGCGGAGAATGGTCGGGGTCACAAGCCAGGTTCAACAGGTAGCGGGCAACGAGGTACCGAGGGTCAGGCAGAAGGATGGTCAGGAACGAGCCGGGTCAGAGCAGGAGAGGGTAAGCATAAATCAGAACAGGCAGAGTTTGGCAACTAGGAAGCGTACTTACAGGACAGGAACAAGACCTTGCGGCAACCTGGAGATGCACAGGGCAGCTTTAAATAGAGCGCCCTGTTCTCCCATTGGTGCGGCCGCGATCGCTACTGCGCATGCGCGGCCACCGCCACGATCGCCGAGGACTCGGTGCTCGCCGGCTGGGACGGATCGGCAGTCTGCGCATGCGCGCACCGCCGAGGACCTGGGATCCCTGACAGTGACACCCCACACTAGTGAGGTAATAATAACAAACTCCACAGCATGTGAAATTGTGTACAATCAGTGGTGACACACAATAGTGGGGATTCAAGGCCATTACCCTCTTGCAGCATAGACCAGCATAAACCAGCTCCTCTTGCAGCATCAAATAGTATATTACCAGCCCTTCACGGTTTGTATTGCCAGCTCCCCTCTGCAGGTATGCCTTGTTCCCTCTCTCCAAGTCCTCATGAGAGTAGATAACAGAAATCAACAGTGGAGCGTAGAAGGTAATAAACACATTTTATTAGTATCTTACATTCAAGATTTGGGAAGTCCAACCATCTGTCCCATCAGTTCAAACGCTATATCTCCAATAACCATTATGGCCGCGCCGCTCCTTTCGGTTTGCGTCTGATGTCACGTCACTGACGCGTTTTGTCACTTCCAACTTCGTCTCGAGTGTCCCCGTCTTCTGATGGCTCCTTCCCGCAGGATAATGCACCATGTCACAAAGCTCAAATCATCTCAAACTGGTTTCTGATTGCCTGAACATGACAATGAGTTCACTGTACTCCAATGGCCTCCACAGTCACCAGATCTCAATCCAATAGAGCACCTTTGGGATGTGGTGGAACGGGAGATTTGCATTATGGATGTGCAGCCGACAAATCTGCAGCAACTGCGTGATACTATCATGTCAATATAGACCAAAATCTCTGAGGAATGTTTCCAACACCTTGTTGAATCTATGCCACAAAGAATTAATGCAGTTCTGAAGGCAAAAGGGGGTCCAACCCAGTACTAACAAGGTGTACCTAGTAAAGTGGCCAGTGAGTGTACATGTAAAGGAGCTGTTTTTACCTACTAAAGGATTTGTATTTCTATGCATCCAATCCTGACATTTGCAAAGCTCTGAAACACTGCCCAGATCTATCTATCTAGCTATCATAATACTGCCCCAAACTACCTCACCGACCTGATATCCAAATACCACCCAACACGTACTCTTCGCTCCTCACAAGACCTCCTACTCTCTAGCTCCCTGGTCTCCTACTCCCATGCCTGACTCCAGGACTTCTCCAGGTCTTCCCCCAATCCATCAGACTGTCACCTACCCTCCTCACCTTTAGGCGCACCCTGAAAACCCATCTCTTCAGGGAAGCCTACCCCGCCCTCACCTACCAGCAAATCTCCTCCACTCCTCCTACAACTCCATCCCCCACAGCCATTTCCTCCTGTACCACTATCCCCTCCCTTCTAGATTGTAAGCTCCAAGGAGCAGGGCCCTCGAACCCCTCCTGTATTGTATTATTACTGTATTGTCTCATGTACTGTCTCCCACTATAATGTACAGCACTGAGCAAACTTTTTGGCGCTATATAAATACTGTATAATAATAATCTATATGGCAGGGGAGGAGATATGACTTTTCTCTTCTGTAATACTTAGTTATCCTCTGTGCCCCAGTCTGTGACTGAATAGTGAAAGAAAAAACACCAGCTCATCATGCTGTCATTCTGCTCTATCCTCCTATTAGCATGTTCCTTGTACTGAAACACAGCCAATTGGTTCTTGCACTGTTTCTCCCTCTGCTCCCACTGCTGTAGAGATACTAAAGGAGGCTGATACCAGGTCAAACCTATTTTTTGTGCTGCTTGCATTTCTTCTATATATCACATTTAGGATGTATTAATGAATACAGATCTGCTTAAAGCGGAACTAAACCTTCCTGTTGTTTTTCAGCCAAGGAACTGCCATCCTAGCCCACGATTGATCTGCAACTGCCATGGTGCAGCAAAACAATCAGTTATGACATCAGTCATTTGATGGTTTGGCAGTTTGGTTGAGAGCACAAGCAAATATAACAATTTGACAATTACATTCATGCCTGAATGCAAGTCCTCATTCACACCAGTGTGCAGGGATGCGAGTTTTTCTGCAAGGGCACAAAGAAAACCATTGTTCTCCATGTGCCCTGTTCACACCACACTAGTATCATGTGCTGATTTTTTTTTTTTTTTGAGCAGGAATCTCCAGTGTGTATAAAACTCATTGATACGCGCATGAATACTGATGTAAACTCGTGTCTCTGCAAGTGAAATCTGCACGTTTTTTCCATCCGTTTCTCTGCACATGTGGTGTGAACGATGCCTAACTATTTTTTGAAACTGTTAAAATTGATGGGTTTAGCCCCAGTTCACACTGATACAGTGCAGGAAACGTTGCATTTCCTGCACTGCATTGCAAAGTTAACACCTCAATAGCAGGTCCAAATGCAGTGCATTTGCCTGAACCAGATTGCATGGTAGAAAAAAAAAACATGCAATCCGGTTCCAGTGCGGTTAAAAAAAAAAAAAAAAAGTGGCTGCAATTCTTTGGTGCGATGTGGTGCGATCTGAGCCCATTCAAAGTGAATGGACTCAAATTGCACCATGCAGAATTGCATGTGAAGTGCACAGGAATGTGATGCAATTCCTAGTTCCACTTTAAATCAGTATCTGTTATATCAGCCTGGAGTTCATCTTTAACAAATTTTGCAAGGGTAATGACTAAGAAACTGATATTTGTTGACATTTGCCTAACAAATGAGGACATCCGTGATCCATCTGGTGTGTAGTTGCTTTCTTCTTGGTACATCACAAGTGAAGCCATTATAAGGGCTCAGGGCTCAAACAGCTGTTGGTTGGGGAGAATTGTGACAAATGCGGTTGTCAATCCACTGTCCTTCTCAGCAGATCATGACCAAAAGACTGGTCCACCTCACACCACGCTATCACTAACGCGACAATGACACGCTCTGCCACACTCTGCACAAAAATTTTCCAGCTTGCAGAACCACAATCTAAGTGCCAACAGGCTGAGAGTGATTGTCATTGGGTTAAGTTAACTAAGCAATTAACTCTTTAAACTCCAAACTGCCACTAGATAACTTTTGGCCTATCAACCCTTCACAATACTCGTAATGACTGATGATGATTGTTAAAATAACTGTCTGTACACACACTGTCACCACAAACGGGTATATTCAGAGATTATACTACAGTAGCACTCTCTCCAATCACTTGGATTCTTTTAGTCTGCCTTAGCATATTTAGAAACCGTTTTAACACTTTCCAAATATAGCTTAACAATGAAAAGTTTAGAATGATGTAAATAAAATATTTACAAAAAACAAAAATATTACAAAGTAACAGAGAAATAAAAGGGAGTTGGGGGTGAGAATACTTTAACAATGTCCTGGAGTCCATTGATTAAGCAAAAACTGTACAGTGGCTCTCTCAGGTCCTGTTAGGTGTTCCTTGGTTTGATGTTAAAAGGAGAGCTCTCAACTTCAAGAGTAGTCTCCTTTTTCTCTGATAGCAAGGGGGTGTTTGTCAGAGACCATCTGACCAATTAAGCGGTTGAGGGGTGGCCATGGGGAGGTCACTGTGTTTGACTGTATCACGGCTCTCCCTTACACACAGTTTTATATTAATATCTTCCAATATGTACCGGATGCATTCTGGAAACTTTTTTCCAGGGATACTAAACACAGGGTATCTCGGATGAGCCTGTCACCCAGGAGGTATCTGACTGCTATCTCACCTTCTGTATACTATAGCTTAGTCATGTATGATCTCGATTTGTTCGGTGTGATTTTCCCCAATCAAATATTTACTTAATATTGATGTGTCTTGTTCCTGTCTGATGTTATGAATTGTGTGTAGTTTTTGAAATTTTGGAGTTGGGCAGGGGGTCTCCGAAAAGGTCACCACAAGCCTGACTGCTTTATGATCCTCATTAGCCCTGGTTAAGACATTTTACAGCATGCAGTGTATCCCTAATGGGTATTATTGCCCTACAAAGCATGGGTGACAGAACTGAAGGATTTTGTGACTGTTTTAGGATGGGTCAGAGGGAAGTGTTACTATGTAGATTTTTATGTTCTGCAGAAATTAACAGACACCCTGCTAGGACTTCAATTAGCTATTTACAGCTCTAGCAAAGGCCTGTGTGCTGGTGTCTGCTGTCCCTAAGTTGAGATAACAGGCTGTTTGACATGTGACTAAGTTATGGTTATAAAGGTGCATTCCTAGCTATTTGCTGCAATGTGTAACTGTTCTACAAAACTTGGCCGACCTATGATTCTTGAAACAACATGGTCACGAGACACAGCTATTCGTAGTACGTGATATCATTACAAAAATGCCCAGGCTGGGAATTCTATTGTTTTGGTCTCCCTTTCTAACCTCACACTGGTGCATATGGGACTCTCTAGCGCGAATACAAGAAGGCAAGTAGATAGATAGTAACTGTAGTACATTTGTGTTTTTCTGCAGGATTATTTTACATGAAGTCACACATGCCATAAACTTGCCTCTAAAATCTAGATCTAGCCATTCTAGCACTGTAATGGTTGATATTTATTTTGCAATATTTCTGTTCCCAGAGTGTGGAGGAACCCTGCAGGCAGAAGTTCGAACCAAGGATCTGTACTCCCATGCCAAGTTTGGAGATGATATACATCCATCCGCATCAGAGTGTATATGGCACATAGTGTCTGAGGGACAGTATGGAGTAGAACTAGTCTTCCAGAGTTTTGAACTAGAGGAGGAACAAGATTGTGGATATGACTTTATAGAGCTGTATGATGGACCAACTGAGGCAGCCCCCAGGATGGGCCGATACTGTGGGTCAGGGGTATGTATGCTGTAACTTGATTTAACGTGCATAATGTGTAACATCAGTGCATCCATGTGTGCTAGTTGCTGTCTTGTTCTTATGCTGTCAGCAGTACAGATACACTTTATTGCCAAATGTATTGGGCCAGCCCTCCAAATCAATGGATTCAGGTGTTCCAATCACCTCTATGGCCACAGGTGTATAAAATCAAGTACCTAGGCATGCAAACTACTTCTACAAACATTTGTGTAAGAATGGTCTTAGGAGCTCAGTGAATTCAAGTGTGGTACTGTGATAGGTTGCCACCTGTGCAATAAGTCCATCCGTGAAATTTCCTTGCTACTAAATATTGCACGGTCAACTGTTATTGGTAATATAACAAGTAAGTGGAAGCAACTGGGAACAGCAGCAACTCAGCCATGAAGTGATAGGCCACGTAAAATGACAGAGTGGGGTCAGCGCATGCAGAAGTCACCAACTGTCTGCAGAGTCAATAGCTAAAGACCTCCAAACTTCATGTGGCCTTCAGATTAGCACAACAACAGTGTGTAGAGCGCTTCATGGAATGGGTTTCCATGGCTGAGCAGCTGCATTCAAGCCTTACATCACCAAGTGCAATGCAAAGTGTCGGATGCAATGGTGTAAAGCACACTGACACTGAACTCTAGAGCACTGGAGACGTGTTCTCTGGAGTGAGGATTCACTCTTCTGTATCTAGCAATCTGATGGATGTGTCTGGGTTTTGTAATTGCCTGGAGAAGTGTAAAGTTTGGTGGAGGGGGGATTATGGTGTGGAGTTGTTTTTTCAGGGATTGGGCTTTTGCCCCTTAGTTTCAGTGAAGGGAACTCTTAAGGCGTCAGCATACCAAGACATTTTGGACATTCATGCTCCCAACTTTGTGGGAATAGTTTAGGGATGGCCCCTTCCTGTTCCAACATGACTGAGCACCAGTGCACAAAGCAGGGTCCATAAAGACATAGATGAGCAAGTTTGAGGTGGAGGAACTTGACTGGCCTGCACAGAGTCCTGGCCTCAACCCAAGATAACACCTTTAGGTTTAATTAGACTGGAGACTGCGAGCCAGGTCTTCTCGTCCAACATCAATGCCTGACCTCACAAATGCACATTCCCATAGACATATTCCTAAACCTTGTGGACAGCCTTCCCAGAAGAATTGACGCTGGTATAGCTGCAAAGTGGGAGCCAACTCAATGTTGAACCCTACGGACTAAGACTGGGATGTTATTAAAGTTCATGTGCGTGTAAAGGCAGGTGTCCCAATACTATTGGCAATATAGTGTATGTAATTTGTTGTTCCTATGACCAGGTGTTGGGAGCCACAGTTTGTACAATTGTTCCATAAATATCACATGATGCAGAAGTAGCCACCACATATTCGTATAAAGGGTGATGCTTGTGGAGAAGTAGAGATTCACATTGCTGAGATATTCGGCACAATTGTGAATTGTTACTATAATTTTCATGTTTGTGAAGTTCCCTTTAAACAGTCCTTGCCCATTGTTATCTTGTGTAAGGTGTTGTACAATAAGTCATACCTATCCATAGAAATATCCCTATCCAATGCTTAAAATACATGTGACCTAGAGTCACAAGCAATTAAACTTTAGATATAGCCTTCCAAAATCTAAACAGAGAGACTTGATTTGCCCATTTTCATACTTTGCTAAAGGGCAATATGAAAACATAAATTAAACTTAGTGAATATTTGGTTATACCAAATGCCCTTCATAGTTATGGCACATTACTCTGCAAAATATTGTCAGGGACACTAATCGGTTTCTTTTGAAGGGGACAAATCAGTATCTTTTTTTAAAGCAATTAGTTCACCGTTGTCACTTCCATTTACAGTGTTTCTAAAGTCAAGAACAAAAATGTATTATATTGCAATGTACCAGTTAGATGTAGAGACTGCATTCGTTTTCATATACATGCAAGTACAGAAAAATATATGTTGATCTTGCCAGAAATCCAATGTTCTTATAAGACCTTGTTTACTTTGGCGATCAAGGGGTGGTAAAACCTTTTTACTGCACCCCAACTGCTTCCCTTGTTGCTGCTGAGGCAGTATTCAAGGCTGGACACATGCCGAAGCTGCAATGCTTTGTGGCTGCAGCAGGAATTATACCCTATGCAAGTGACTGGGGCCATGCTGCATTACAAATCACACTGCAATGCTGGTAAAACACAGTACGCATGTTTGGATGCCATTCATTTTAAATAGCACCTAAACGAGGTGAGGTTTTGCAATGATTGCCGTGCGATTAAATCGCAACACACCATATCACGCGAACCTTGTCGCTCAAAGGAAGCTCCTGTTCCTTCTTTTTGATCAACAAGTGTCGTGCGATTTACAAAGCAAATTGCAGCACAGTTTATAGAGGAAAAACCGCACCGCATTCAGGTGCCGTTGAAAATCAATGGCACTCGAAACACGTGTGCTGGGTTTTGCCAGCATATTTTAGTATGATTTAGAATCGGGGGCAGAATCAATATATGTGGTGGGGATGTGGTGTGATTTTATGATAGACCGATCCGGTGCAATTTTTGTTCAAGCGGTACAGGTGTGATTCTAATACAAATTGTTAAAGTGCCACACGCTGGAAATTGCACCCGCACCCACACTAAAAATCACACACAGCCCCTTTTCAAACTCGCACTGTGGCTGGACCGCATATATGTCAACAGAAATCATAGAAAACTATGTTATTTTACCTGTCATACGATTCAGTGCATTCTGAAACGCATTAGAAACCACATATGTGTGAACTGAGATCTGCATTTTTGTTGCATTAGAGCTCATAGATTATGAAGAATGAAGCAATGCTCATTAATGCACCTACAGCATTTGATTTATTTTTGATGCATTTTTGTTATGTTTTTGAAGCATTGAAAAAACCATCAAGAAGGCTTGTTAAAGGCCCCTGAAAGGGTTGTTTTTTTTCTAGGGGACAGTTCTTAAAGGGGAAGTGATGTAAAAGAAATGATCTAATTCAAGGTGTGGTCAGGTTATGGTTTGATAGCAGGCAATTTTGAGAATTCTCTGCAAGATTGATTTGTATACTTTGAACTCTGACACTTGACTTGGTTCAGCTCAAGATGATCATGGAAAGAATAGCCAAGCAGAAAAAAAGGAAGGTGTTGCTCTGGTGAAGGGTTCCATACTCTCTATCACATTTTGCAGGCGTAACCCCAAAAGTTGTTTAATTATACCCACATAAAGATGTCTACATTTTGATATCGTTCTTGAGATTGTAAGACCCTAACTGATACGAGCCACAATTGGTATGAGGCATCCTGTTTCACCAGAAGAATGCCTCTTTTTAAACTTTGTGGTAAGTCATGTCTAAGTATTCCCTGTACTGCCATTTCTGAAGACAATTACCCCATCAATTCTCCCTGCCTTGTGATTGGCAGTGAGCAGATTCCAAATTTGTCTCTGTATCAGATATGGAGTTTGTTTACTGCCCACCTCTCCTAGGCGTACTGATATATTAATATCTGCCTTCATGACCCTTGCTGGCATTGGGCACCGTCCCTTCACTTGCTTGCATTGAGTCTTGCTGGCACTTTGCTGAATCAAAAAGCTTTGCCACTGGCACTATTGTTCATTGCCCCTGCCTTTGCTTCTACTTGGCACTGTCAGTATTACTGGTGTTTTTTCCTGCACACTAAAGCAAATGGTGTCACCATACGACTGCTCTGTAGAAACAGGAAGTGGCTGAAGCTGCTGTGTCCTAGTTCTGTTATTTCACAGTGCATTCTGGGAAATAGGAACCACCGCTGCCTCTCTCTTATAGTGCTTGACAAACACTTTTATTTTATTTCAGGTACTTGTATAGCGCCGTCAATTTATGAAAGCTTTTTGAATATGTACATATACAGTCAGGTCCATAAATATTGGGACATTGACACAATTCTAAAATTTTTGGCTCTATACACCACCACAATGGATTTGAAATGAAACGAACAAGATGTGCTGTAACTGCAGACTGTCAGTTTTAATTTGAGGGTATTTACATCCAAATCAGGTGAACGGTGTAGGAATGACAACAGTTTGCATACGTGCCTCCCACTTGTTAAGGGACCAAAAGTAATGGGACACTTGGCTTCTCAGCTGTTCCATGGCCAGGTGTGTGTTATTCCCTCATTATCCCAATTACAATGAGCAGATAAAAGGTCCAGAGTTCATTTCAAGTGTGCTATTTGGATTTGGAATCTGATGCTGTCAACTGGCTGGGGGGTGCTGGGGTGGGCTATGCCCCCCCCCCCCAGATTTTAGTTGTGCCCCCCCCCCCCCCAAACCAACCCTACCCTAGCCTGCCTCTATACTGCCACTATACTACCCTAACCTGCCACTATGCTGTCCTACATTGGCATGATACCATCCTAATCTGAGACGTTACTGCCCTAGTTTGGCATTATGCTGCCCTAGCCTGACACTATACTGCCCTTGACTGACACTATTCTGCTCTCAGTTAAGCATTGTGTGGGGAGGAAGTGCTCTGCTGTCTGTGTCCAGGCTGTGTGCACTGCAGGAATGAGAGAAGGAGCTGTGCCCCTGCCCTCTGCTCGGCCAGCAGTGACCCCATGTCCTGTTCCCTGCTGACATCCCATCCTATACCTCCCTGACATTTTTTTTACTGACACTACCCCTCACCCCCCATCAGACAGGCTAGATCTGGCCCTGTCTCAAACAATGTTGTCAGCCTTCCCAGCTATTTTCAGTGGACTATAAAACACCTCCCCCAATGTTAAAGAGAATGGAAGTGTGTGAGTTGTTCAGCAGTCAAATCATGATGACATTGTTGCCTCTCCATGGTGATACTGGCAGAATTACCAGATAAAAAGAAAAGAAATAAAATGTTGCAGCCATCATATCTATAGGCTTCTAAGCTGCAGTATATTACATTTTTGTTCTTAGACAACTGGAATTTGATGTATTCCATCTGAAAATGTTCTTGTTGCTTAAAGGACACTTGTGATGATTGAAATGTGT